AAATCTCAGGTTTCTTCCCAGAAGGAGTTTGGGAAGAAATATGAAGATACTGTTGAAAGTATTTTCTCTGGCTTTACTAGAACTTGTTCTGTCAAATGCTTACTCATAATGCCAAGGGCAGTGGCATTAGTAGGAAGTCTGCAGCCTCTTTGTGTACACAATGTCCTAATTTCAAGCAAGTGAATGGGAGGGAATGTTAGCTGAGTTCTGTACAGTTTTAAAGGAAATAAAAATAGAGTGAGAACTCTAATGCCTGTGTTCTTTATGAGAACTCCAATGTTCTTTGTTTAGTGTAGTAAAGCCTAGACTTTCAAACAAAATGTGTCAGATACAGAAGAAATGGCTAAGCAAGTTTTTTTTGCATTTCTCAGTACTCTCAGATTAGCTATTCATGTTTTAATAAACTCTTCAAAATCAAAGGGACATACTGAAGATAATTACAATTCTTCTGCACTTATCTGTCATACAAAGTTTTAATATTTTCTTCCATTTTATGTACTGTCTCATAGAATGAGTAAAAATACTTGCAGTAAATTCCATCTCTGCCTGCGTATTAGTACTTCTTCAGAAGCAAAAGAATTTATTATCTGCAGGTTTTCATTTTTTGTTTATGCATTCCATGTTTGAATAAAGCAAAATGTTATTTAAGGACCTGATCTGAAGGCTGCCTACTGAAGTGAGTAGGAGTCCTGTGGAGATCTGGCCCCCAAGGACATCTGCCTACTACAGAATTATCACAGTGAGAAAAAAAATCCCCTCTAAGCCAATCCAGCAGAGACCATGGCATTAATAACCCACTGTTTAACTTGGTGAGTTTCTTGGAATGAAAATACGTCAAAACACAATAACATCTCTGGATATCAATTATTCCCTCTGCTTTTTCAGTGAGAGGAGATAACTGGAAATGAAAGAAATACTGAGAATTAGTCACGTGGGACTAAGTCATTTCACCAGGAATATTTGCAAGCAAATTCTGCAGAAAGCCAAATTTTAAAGATGTGTAGTCAGAGGGATTTGTGAATGCAAATTCTAATGCTACTGTCATTATGAGGATGCTTGAAATTACAATAGGGAATTTTTATATACTTCCTTATCATATTTGGTTCTAACATTTGAAGAACAATACTCATTAAAATGGCCATACAAGAGATGAAAATTTTTAAACATATGAAAGTCCTCACTGAATTTCCTGGAATTGCATTTATTTCTGTGAACATATATATCAATTAACCTATTTGTTTAGGCAGAACAGTAACAGTCAGTTTCAAACTTCTTCTAGAGGGAATTCTCTCTGAATCTACAGCTTTTTGTATGCAGAACTTTTTATCTGTATAAAGAAAAAAAAAATCATCATTTTCAGAAAACCCAAAATACCATTTTGGTTAAAATACCAATATTCTTTTTCCTCTCAGGGCCTACTCTCCACAATGACAGTGGTCACAGCACCAAAGCAAACAAAGTTGAAGAGTTTGGACCACACTCTCAGGCACCTGGAGTGACTCTTGGGGTGTCCTGTGCAGGGCCAGGAGCTGAACTCAATGATCCTGACAGGTCAACTTAGCATCTTCTGTGATTCTCTGATTATATAAGCAGATGTCTGAGAGATAATTTCCTTTCAGCTGAGATGGGGGTGAAATCTGGTGAATATCAATTTATTTCTAAGTGCCATTGAAGTAACCCTGAATATTAGATTGCTTATAAAAGGTTACTAATGATCCACATGAATTCACTGTCTGTGAAGTGCTGCCTCCAGGACGATGTGAGAAACAGCCCATGACCATAACACCCATAATCAAGGGAATGAGAGGCCTAAGAAAAAGCTGGATCTGACTTCTGGACAGATAAATACTTTCCCAGACCAAACTGTAAACCATTTCCATCAAGTAAACAGAGCTACCTTGTACCTGCTCGCCCAGAGGTCTACATGAGGGACCAGACCAAATTCTTCAATTATCACCCCTTCAACCAGCAGCTATCAATTCCCAGAGCTTGTCAGCGTGCAGAGCACAGGGCAAGCTTGATCCCTATTGAATTGCCCAAGCTGTGATTAAGTCCACAGCAACGAGTTGCCTTGCTCCTGGCAGGCTGCCACATCCACTGATTTCAGTGGAGAAAAGTTACAGTTAGAAAAGAGGGGAGGCTGGCCTGGTGCCCACAGCCCTCTTCAGCAGAGTTAAACCACTCTGCCCTGCATTTGCAGGCGCATCCGGCCGCAAGCTGCCTGTGCAGGAGCTGAGAGCAGGGCACAGATGGTGCCTTGTGCCGCAGGGCGCACAGCACGCACCCAGCAGCCGCAGAGCCTGTACCTGCAGAGCAGCACAGCGCACTCGGGGCTTGGTGCCTCAGAACATCTGGATGGGAGCAGCTCCTGACCGGGAAAGGGCAGAGGGAAGGACTCATCTGCACCGCAACTGCGGAGCACCCAGGGCTGGCACGCTTGGGCTCCTCACTGCTCTTGCCAACGTGAGGCAAAGGGAAGGGGCAGTGGGGAATTTCACTTGGAGTTCAGGCTGGAAAATGTCTTACAGACAAGGATGGAAGAACTTAGAGTTAAATAAAGGCACTGTTATCTGAAATGTTGATGCTCTTTGAATTCTACCAAGAACAGTCTCCTCTTTTTCCCCATCAAAGAGAATGTGATAGTCACTCAGTGCCACTAACATCTCTACAAGACACCCAAAACTGCAAAATTATACAGACAAAAGAGGAGAACATCTGTTCATGTGTTCTGTACTTCTGCCTCAGACACACATCTTCCTAAGGACATGAACAATGACAATTTTATTCTCTTTAATGTCTCCCTCATCAAATTTCACTCCATTGTCTGTCCCAGACAAGGTGTATTGGGAAATAACATTATAAACTCTTCCTAATGTTGCTGTTATTTCACCCCAAATTGATTTACTGGGGATTCTGAGCTCATAAATATAATATTTCTCATCCACAACAAAAACTCTATATTCTGTTATTTTACAATATAATCTTAACCTATTCAAGTGTTTAGAATATGAGGTTTTTACAGTTTCAGCAAGAAAATCCCTTTTTAATTTTTAACGTACATTTCAATTTCCAGGGACTTTATTAAAACATGTTTTTATTGATCTGCCGTTGAGAAACACAAAACTTTCTCTGTAATTATGTACAGTTTTAAAATCAGTAATTAATCAAAGTTTCGTATTTTTGTTTGTGGCATCATAGATTCTACAGAGTATCCTGTATTTCAGGGACATTTAAAGTGTTAAATGAAGTCATGAATTTATGACTTGCTATGGTGGTGTGGTGCCACCTTGTGAGATTTTATCATAAGTGCCTCTAACATGCATAAGGAGATAAAAATTAGTCCTAGGGAGAAAAGGAAAGGAGACTGTTATTCTGTGGCTGCAAGAAATTGCAAGAGATTCCAACAGTGAGCCTGTTGAAAAAGAAGAGCGTGTGGTTATTGGTTAAGAAAAGAGCATTCAGCATATTAAGATTACATTAAAAGGGCATGAGAGGGCACAAAGAACTGCAGCAAAACCTCAAGAACTTTCCCCAACAGAGATCCAATTACAGACATTAGTTAATTCCACTGAAGTCAGCAGTTACTGGAGATTAATGTGGAAGTAATGCAAATCAGATTTTGGCCTGCAGGCTGTTGCAAGTCTTGGCTTACAGTATTTCCTTAAAACAATGATCAATTAAAATAACCAAGTTATTTCTTACCTTTTGATAGTTTTATTTACTTTCACAACTCTTTTTTTGTCCCCAGGATGCTTTAACTGTGTATAAATGAGAGATCACACACACAGCTGTTTTGATAGAGGCTTTAGGTAACGGTTTTCATTTTTCTTTGTCCATTTATGAAAAAAATATAGTAACATCTGTTTATATTTAACACTTTTCTGCAATTCAAAATATATGTCCTCTTACTTTTGGGCCAAATCCAAAACTGTTTTAATCTAAACCTCTTTTACTGTTCCAGTTTCTTTCCACATGGCCTGATGGTTCTTTTAGAGTAAGGCTGGTTGAAGAAACGCTTGCTAGAGAATCTGCTAGATTGTGCCAGTAATACAATTGCCAAAATCCAGCAGGTTTGGTACCTCATGACAGGATTAAATTTGGATCCCACTGAACCACACACTCAACCATCTTGCGGTGAGAACACTGCCAGTCACAAGACATCCAGCTACAGACAACTGTGAAAGCACAAACACAAAGCACTTCAGAAATCTATCCCTCACCTTTGCCATCAGGTGCTGGGAATACTCACCCACCACTAGGCAGTGCTGAAGGATTGAGTGCACAGATCTCTCTCAAACACCAGGGACACACAATGGTTTTTGCTACATGAATGTAAGTCAAAAAAATGAAGGCAGTTAGGACAGCTGCACACATTTCTATCTACAGTATTTGGCAAGAACACGTCTCTATGAACAGGAATATTTCTCCACAATGTACTCCTAATTTCTTTTTCTCTTTGTTTTTCAGCTCAGGTAGATGACTCCAAGGTCAAACATCTGGCTGCAAGCTCATGTGTCTCCTAAGGGCTTTGTGACATTTAGGTCAGGGAGGGCCCAGGGAAACAACACACTGAGCACTTCCAAGGCCGCTCGTCCTTTAGGAGGGGAGTATGATATAACCCAAGAATGACACACAGTGTCAGGAATACAGAAATTTTAGCTAATGACAATCATAACACACAGAAGAATGTAGATACCAAAAGGAATTGACCTATGTCATCAGCACCAGATCCTTTTTGTCTGGATAATCTCATCCCAAATCTTGTAACCTGGTATTTTACAAACACATCCGAATCATATCTTCCTACACACCTCACAAGGTTTCCAAGATTAAATGTCTGTCTTGAAATAAGTTTTTTTTTAAAATTAGACTGATACTTCAATTAATAGGAAGTAATTTAAGTAATAATCTCTCTTCACACCAATGTCTTGCAAATATTTTGAATCAGCCGATACATCTAACTTAATCTGCTCAAATGAAAAACAGGCTTGAATCTCTTTTTACTCAATCAGAACTGAACATGAGGATTGATTTCTGTTAATTTTAACTTGGGTAAGGGAATTCAGGTTTTAATTTCTTCATCTAAACAGAAATCAGTAGGTGGAAGCATTAAAATGCTATAAACATCAATTAACATAATAGCTCTAAGATATGTATTACAAATAAATGCTATTGCTGTCATTTTCACTGTGCAATCTTAAACATGTCTGTCCCATATACTTTGAATATCCAAAATTTCCATTGAAACTTTAATGTACACACATACTGCTAGAGAAATATTTCTTCTTTATTCATAGTGTGTAAATCTGAACAGCAAGCTACCCTGCAAGGTCACCACACAGAAGAGTTTCCAACGTAGATAGCTATCACCATCCCTACAGAAATGATAAACAGGTTAGGTTCTCTACTTTAACAGTTTTCTATATAACACATTTGATCCTTTGAAAGATTTGACTTTATTGGAATAATGATCAGAAAGGAAATTAGTATGTGGTCAGCCTAAAAATTCTCAAAGCACAACAGAATGCTTTAAAAGTTTTAATTGTGATGACCTTGATACAGAAGCCATGTAAGTGACAGAGCCCTTCTATTGACTGTTAGAACAGTAATTAATACATATATGATTGTCTTCAGGTCCCAGTACCTAAACAATACTGGAAGTAAAAATAAAATAAATAAAAAACCCAAATCGAAACAACAAACCAAAAAAAAAAAAAAAAACCCAAAAAAAAAATCTAGCTGATTTCCAGCTGGAGAGGAAAGAAAAAGATAGAACTGCATTCATGCATTTTATAGGAGAGATTGCATAGCTTGTTTCAAAAGAAAATATCTTTTCATGTCCTTAATAGTAGTTCTGTGCTTCTTCAACTTCTTCATGAGTTACAGATGACCATGTTCCTCCATTCAAGAACATTATCAGCCCATAGAATGAGTAAAATGCAGGAGCCCCTTTGAGAATAAGGACTGAGTTTTAACATTTATATTGGGAAGAAATGAATCACGTACGCAGTTATCATATACAAAAAGCAAATATTTCAAGTTTTATAAGGACACAACAATCCATAAAATATTGGTTGAAGGTAAGCACCAAACCCAGCAGTTGCCATTTGAGTGGCTGAAAGGCAAACGTGGGCTGTGGCTGTCTTCAACACTGGGAGCTTGATCTTGACAGCAGTGCTTTCACCTCACATATTTTCCATGCAAGATCCCAGCTGTCCAACACAGTGATAGAGGCATCTCATTATTTAAGGCCCATCCTTTCTTTCAAATACTCTTGGAAAACAAACGAAAGCTAATCTCTCAGTTTTTTTGTTTTGGGGTGGGTTTTTTTTCACTTTAAAGAGCAGTATTAAATATTCATAAATATAAAAACTCTGTGGAAATACCTTTAATAATATTCTGATCCTGACTGTTAAAAAAAGGGGAGGGGGGGGCGGGGAAATACCACAATCCAACAACCAACCATCTTCGCCAGAGTGCTTGGCCAGGAGAGAAGATAAAAATATGTCTGTTCCAAATATCCTGTAGATCACATGATGCTTCTGTCTCTTTGTGGGCCAGAATTCTTTCAGTACTTTCTGCTGAGTTCTAGGAAGCCCTCATTAGAGGACAAAAATCCCTGGAGTGCCTGAGATTCAGAAAGGCTGGACTGGCAGAAACATCTTCAGATTCTTATGTGGAAAGTACTACAAAAGAAAGAAAAAGATTAAGACATAGAAACACATCTGTCACTATGCAAAAAATTTTCCTTCAAGCACAAAACCCCACCTTTCTTCTTTTGTGCTTCAAGACTTAAATCTCATGGGAGAAAATTCCATCTTCTGAAAATGTTAGCTCAGGGCCCAAGCTCAATAGTGGATTAAATCAAGTATAAATTGCCCATTTATTGGCTGTAGAGCTGATGCCTTGTGAAGGCTGACCTATGTTGCAGTGCATGTTTTTGATTGTAACTCGGTCCTAGTAGTCAGTTTTATAACCCTTCCCATTTTTATTGTTATAGCATATTTTATTACCAATGGATTATTCCTTTCCCTCCTGTGTTGTTGGTTTTGTCCTAGCTGTCCATCTCCCCAAAGACCTGCCCTTTTGTTCCCTGCTCCTCCTCCCACTGAACGTCAATCCCTCCCCAAGCATGCCCCTTTCTCTAGAAACTTCCCTCTCCATTTTGTACCCTTCAAGGCCCCGTTGGTTTGTTTAAATTGTTCTCCTCCCCTGTAATCCCATATTGGTTTAAACATTGTATTCCCCACCTTGTGCTCCACCCCCAGTTTCTACCAAGCCCTTAAAGATTGTACCCATCCCTGGGACTCCCCCATTTATAAGTTGATGTACGCCTCTGCTCAGGGTCTTTCTGTCCCTGACCCTCCTAGGAATAAACACCTTTGGAAAACACACAGAAGGCCTCTCCCTGTTTCTTGTCCCTACCCTCAGCGCAGTCCTCTCCCCAGTGGGGTCCACTCGTGCCGTAGAGCAGCCGTGCCCTACAGCCACGCTCCGGATTTGACAGCTTTCTGGGGGAGGCCACTCTCACCAACAGTGTCGGGAGCTGGTCAGGCCGAAGAAATCCGGCACCGCAGCAGACCTAGGCCAGAGGCTAGACGGAGCTAAAGAATAAAGTAGGGATTTATTAAAAGACCTCAACAGATCCACCTTGGGCCATACAAAAGCCCGGCCAGGGCTACAGCCAAGATGAACCAAAATGGACAATTGGTCATGAGGTCTCTCGCATTTATAAGTTCTGCTCCATTTGTATATTGGAGTTAATTGTCCAGGTATAGCTTTAAGTTATGAAGGCCCATCCTTCTCGTTTTTTCTCTCTTCAGTCCACATTGTTTATGCTCTTGGGCCTGAAATTTGGATTGGTTGTCCTTGGCCCTAGCCTAGAGAAGGAATTGTTTTGTCTCCCTACTCTGTGAAGAGCACTTAGCATCCCATAATATGAAGCTCAGAACTATACACTAAAGTAGTACTGAAAAATATAAAAGAACTACACACTAAAAAATATAAAAGAACTATACACTAAAGTAGAATCTGAAAAATATAAAAGCTAAAACCTAAGGCATTAGAGCAGAGCTAAGTGTTTCCCAATGGTACTTTTTGCTATGGCACAGTATTTGGGTCCTAACCAAGACAAATTAGAGAGGTAAAGTTGTTTTTCTTTGGGCCAAAGAGATTCTGGTTGTTACCCTCTGTTTGCTCTTTAATACAGGCAAGCAGCATGGCTTACAGCTGCCACCAGGCTTCAGAAGAGCTCCCGAGCATCTCAGCAGGACAGGGAGAGATAATGTGAAGAAGGTATGTTGAAACCCCACTGCCTATAGGCAGCAATCTGTTCAATGTCATGACAGTATCAACTCTTTTTCTTGACTGACTGAAATAAGAAGAAATTATTATGTATTTTTGTATGTAAATTATGTAAGTTTGTTGCCTACACTGAAAGAAAACCTTTTTGGAACATTTGAGAGGCTGCAGACTTTCTGGATGCACACTCTTTGGATTTTGTTTTACCAAAAGAATACTCTAACTTAATTACAGCTATTAGATTTGAATCAGAAATTCACTAAAGGAAGCTTGTGGCATGTATTTGGAGGAGATAAAATTTCATATTCACCATGGTCCCTAGGAACCTTGTCTCTAAGACTTTATTCAATCTGGGTGACAGTAAAAGATATGCTATATAGCAGCCTGGCACACCAGCCTGAGCACTGTGAGACAAAGCAGATAGTGATGCAAATAGTTTACTGGCACTAGGATTTTTTAAATAAAAGATTTATAAATATCTTGTTCACAATTCCAGAAATGTCTAGAGACTATATAAATCCAAGCTGTTAAAAATTTAACTCCCATGCAGGTAATATCTAGGAGCTAAAAATCCATCACATTGCACGTGAAAACATTTGAGGCATGATTCCCCCAAAAAATCCACCCAAATCCACCTAACTGGAAATCAATTTATTAGAAAAATTTCTATTTTTATCAGAGTGTCAGCTTTTTACTAAGAAGCACCTCAAATACTCTGAAAAAATACTGACAGAAATTATTTCCTTCCACTGTTTCTTTGCTAAGCCTTTCTTCCCAATTAGTCACTAGCTCTAATATTAGTCCATAAGAACTAATTAATCTGCATGTTGCAACAGTCTTATGAGATACACATTCCCTATAAGGGAGCTTCCTTTGCTTCAGCATTTGGTAGGACTGGGGTCACAAAAGCCACTAATGGCTGGGCAAAGGCCCGCAACAGTTTCAGAAATACCGCATTTCCAACATTTAATGTGTTATTTCCCTGTCTGGTTCTGGCAGCTTCCAGGTATTACTAATGCCATATTCCTCTCAAACGCCATTACCCATTGCTACAGCAATAGGCTTCACCCTCAGGCATTCAAATAAGCTGAAACTTCCAGGATGATTTATAAAACAATTTCCTGTAGAAAACGTAACCAGTCTTGTAGAACAGAACACTTAGCTAGTGCCAGCTCAATCTGCCAATGCTTCCATTAAACTACAAGCAGCTTCTTAATGATAACAATTTTGAGTGAAATAAAACTATTGGGATCCAATTTTCTGAACTAGTAACTGTCATTATCATTTACAGCTTAGTTCAGCTTCTGGGATAACAGCCAACTGCATAGATGTTCCCTGGTTAATGATTAACAGTGTTTTCTTCTAGTCTGGAAAAAATTCCTCAACGACAGCAGTGCAAATCAAGCAACAGACTTTACTGCATCTTCATTTGCCTGACAGCAGCACAAAGCTGGCAAAAGCTGTCTGTAGGAGATTAAACTTACACAGGGTCATTAAGTAAAGGTTTGAGAAAGGAGTGATGGGATAAGGAAAATAAGTCAACCTAGAGTGGATGAACTTCAGCTCATAGCAGGTCAAAGCCTGGATCATGGTGTCAAAGTCAATGCCTCCTCTGTATGTTAAGTAGGTGTGATAATGTGACAGCTTAAAAAAATCCCAACACATGCTTCAGAACCTGAGTGCATATTGCTATTAAAATCTAGCCTTCAAAGGTTTTCCACAGAGTAAAGAAGATATTCCTCCTCAGAGATGTCAAATCTCATGCTGCTGCTGATGATCATTTGCAGCTGAATGAAAGTTCTCAACGTTTGTCACAAGTGGGTTGACCACTGGTCCCACATAAGAGAGCAGAGAGAAAAAAGTGTTCTGTGGCTTCATACAGATCACCTGCTCAAGCAATGGAAGAGCCAGTGATAAAACCTAACTGGAATCCTACATTTCCTCCTTTTATGATATGAAGAGGTGGCTTTGGTGGGGACAAAAGGAAAAGAACAGAAAAAATCCTTTACTACAGATAAAAATCATCTGGGGCCTTGCAAGTTATTCAGCATTTTCAGAAGGCTCTCATACCACATGCCAGGATCATATTCTGGGATCAGATGTTCAAAAATATTGACGGCCCATAGCTTCACTGCAAAATCCCTGCAAAGTGCAGTTACCCAGCATCTGCAGTGGCTCACTGGCAATCATTTTCTATGTGGCTATTGCTTTGGTTCCTAGGCGTTCTATTTGCACGGTTGCTGAGCAGCTGGAAGTGTAAATCATCAGACTCTTGGGCTTCCTTGAGTTAAAATTCTGGAATGCATTCAACTGGTCACAAAAAGTGGAGATAAGCAAAACCAAATGAAATTGTGGCTGCCTCTGGACATTGCTGGGTTGGTATTTCTTCCACATGTCCGCTTAAGATTTCAAATGGCCAATTTGTTTTAGGTGAAAGCATGTTTTTATATATTTTTGCAATAGTAAGAAGCTAGTTCAGTTTTCCACTGGCATATAGGGTTGGTGATCTGCTATTCAGACACTCCTGTGCTTTGCAAATTCTGTAGTAGACTACCCAGTGAAGCTGCACAGCCCTGCCTGCCCTTTGGCTGCACACAGCCTCAGGCTATAATTTAAGACAACCATTACAGCTGGAAACTCAGAAGAAAATGAGAGGCTAGGAACAGAGCTGGAGATTAACTCACAAAGACGTAAGAAAGCATTGTTTCAGTAAATGAATAGGAAATGTGTCCAAGACTGTTATGGCACAAAGAACTGGGCTTTTGGTGGTGAGAGATCAGCTACAGGAATTGCATTCTTGTCCCATGTCACAAAGTCTGTCACATGCTGGCAGGCACTGGCTCCTGCCAGAGAGTGCTTATTTATCTTCAGTCCCAGTCAGACTTTGGTGAACCTATTGTGGCATTAAACTTCAATGAATCCCATTCCAAAAGTCAAATCTCTCTTTAGAATGCAGTATTTACCCAGTATTAAAAAAATTAGAATAAGTTCCTCAGAACAGGATGTTCAGTATTAACAATTATGTCAGTCTGTGATGCAGTGCATACAGGAAAAATAGAACTAACAATGTCCTAAAAGAATAAAATACCTTTACAGACAAAATGAACAGTAACCCACAGTAAGGCAGAGGTGTCAAATCTTCCATGTAAATCAGTTTGGATAAAAGTAGTCTTATGACCCTGTCGCTTTCTTTTCCTGCAGCTGTTAACTCAAAACAGAAACCAAACTAGAGAACCTACACATTCTCAACTCTGAGGCTTTTTTCCATTACACTCTCATTTTTCAATATAGCTTCAAAAATACATGTTGCTGAACCATAAGAAACATCAGATTCTTCAGTGGATTCTAATATTTCTTTACATATGTTTCCAGCTAAGAACTGGTTTTCTTTATACTGTTATCCCCATAGAAGCTGCTTTTATATAGAAATTGCCTGGTCAGAGGCTCTAAACCAGTGTTTTGGTTAGGAGGTGAAGGAGACCCTTCTGTATATCACCAGGAGCTCTTACGCCTGAGGACTCGAGAGAGGAATCCCATGACCCAGCTAAACTCCTGAACCTGAATGGAGGGGCAAGTTATGATTCCTCTGCAAGCCAGGGATGCCAAACATCTACCTTAAATATGCACATTGCCATCTTAAACCTGAAGGAGATATCTTGTCACAGACACAGATCCAAGTACATGTGTTTAAATGAGCAACTGGACGCTCAGTCTTTCAATACTTGGTAGCCTCGTCCTTTGATTTTATTGGTACTCTCCAATTTCTCTTACCTAATCTATAATACACATCTCACTTCATCCCACTTTTTACTCATCATCTTGCCCTGCTGAATACCCAGCACTCAGTGATTTTTCACTCATTTCCTCATCTTCCCAAAACATCACCTAAATGGAAAAGAAAAATAATTGTGTCAGTCATTCCAATGGCTACACTGGCAAACATTCCTCTCTGCAGCTTTCTCAGGAAATGACTGCACAGCATCCTCACCTTGGAATTCTCAGTCAGCAGTTTGCCAGCCTCTACAACACAGCAGTAAAGTCAGTCATGGCACAGGAAACTTCCAAAACTGCAGCTTCTACTGAATCTTCAGATCTGCCTTCAATTCTTCACATTTGATCACTGTTCTCTACCAGCTTTGTAGGAGCAGCACAGCCTTTTGATTGATTAAAGGAAACCCTACCTGATCCCAGCAGCTTCTACATGGATAGCAGTATAAAGAAGATGTTTTCTTAGCTGGAAATATCTGTAAACAAAATGTTAGAATACCTACTGAGCTGAGCTTCACCATAATGATGATACTTATCTTGTTCTAAAGGGGTTTCTGTTGATACACTTGATTAGTTAAGGAATACCTGAAATGTATAAAGACATTCACATTGAATGTCTCCTCTCCAGAAGCTGATGTTTCTCAAGGTTCACTGGAATCATGTGCTCCTGCTGTATTGCTGAATCGCTTTTAACATCTTTCCTCCGAAGTTTCATTCATGAAAGAAATACTGTTCTGTGTTCTGCAGGGCACTTTACAGTTCTTCAAAAAATGCTTTCACAGCAAATAGATCAATGTCTTTCTATGTATATTTGCAACATGTATACAATATTTACACACATTCCTATGCAGACAGCTAGGATCCTTGCTATAGGCTTAATCCTTGCTACAGGCTGAATTTGAGCTCATAATGGATGAAAATATTTTCCTGAACTGCACCAAGACGGGTGGAGGAGGAGGAAAGGTGATAATTAAAAGCCATTGAGCTCGTAATCTTAAATTAGGAGAGAACTGGAATATGCCCTGGAAAAGTAAACTGAGTTAGGTAAGAAGCCATCTCCTAGTCAGTTCTCTAGTAAAATACTTATGTCTGACACTTCTTGTATTAGACTGCACAGTGATATCCTAAGACAATACTTGCAAGTGTGCAAGAGACTTTCTTTTTCTTAAAATAATACCTGAGAAAGTCTGGTGCCTTGGAAATCATGTTTTCAAAATCTGCAAATCCTAATTTCCCATCACCATCCATGTCAGCTTCTTCTATCACCTTCTCACAAACCAGAGTGATTTCCTCTGCTGTCAGCTCTTCCCGGGTCAGCTTATTGAGGGTTTTTTCCAAGTCTGCTTTACAAATGAAGTTATCTGTGTTAAAATCTAAACAAATAGAAGAACCAAAGATCACCAAGTGTACCACTCATTTACTCCAAACACAAAAAAACACACCAGAGCCCCTCCACATAGTACCATAAATCTTAAAGGCATAGATTGCTTTAAGCTCTCGGGGAGCCATTTCACTGAGCACGGAGAACATATCCACAAAGTCATTGAAGCTCAGGCTCCCCTCTCCATCTTCTGAGAAAGACTCCACAATTCTTTCTTTGAAGGGGTTCTCCTGTAAAAGACATACATAGACTGGTATTTGGAAGACGAAAAAACCTGCAGACTCCCTGATAATTAATATTTAGTTGCACAGTTGGCTCTTTAAAGACTTTTTTTTTTACTTTTTTTCCCCCAAAAATGCATCAAAAAACTTACATTTGCATGCTTTAGCAGGAAGTTTCAGCAGTCCTTGCTGCTGCATAGTACCACTTCTGGCCTTTTACTTTCAATGACACATGTCAATGTCCAACCGCTGGCTGGACTGACTAAAAATTCCAGAGATTTAAATGAAATGTAATCACCACCGGAGATGATCCTGAAGTCATTTTTAGCACCTTAGAATAAGACCATATTCTAAAACCATAAACACATCAGCAAGCATAAGAAAACCTGCTTCATCACTATGAAATCCAAAACAAATGTTTTTACAGTAAAAACCCATCATCTTTCTCAGAGCTATACAAAACCCCAACACTAATTTGTAGCTATATCAATAAAACTTGGAAAATCAATTAAATTCAGTTAAATATGAACAGAACACAAACATCACTGGGGCTGTGAGCAGCATCTCATTAAAGCTGTGCTACAGATCTTATCTGAAGCCAAGACATTGATTAACATGCTGATCCATAAATATATACAGCTATGGTGGTGGCATATTAGGTTCACTATTTATACTCTGCATGCAGCATTTTATTTGGCTTTTTAAGAAGCAGTACTGTGAAAGCTCAGAAGTTCAAGCATATCTCCATTTAATTTCTTTTTTCCCTGTAAATTTAGTTACCTAACAGGTATTCATAAACCATCCTATTATTTTAAATGAAATTTCAAAAACAAGCTATATTTGAGAGACAAATGACCAGAAAATGTTATTTTTCAGTTTACTTCAATTCTTTCTTGATAATTCACACACAGAACAAAAACATCTATGCATTTGTGGCATAACTGTGGTGACTAAAAAAGCAACAACCAGGAACAAGGCTGCTTTTATGGACAGGTGAAGTAGGGACCACACAGCCTTAGGCTGAAATGACAGCCCATTAAAGTACTCAATACTAAATACAAATTCTCCTGCAGGGTTGGATGACTGAAGGAATCCACAATTGGGAACAGGCCTACAGATTTCAAAGGATAGGAGATTAATGAGTTAACTGTTTAGATGAAGATAAAACCAGGCCAGATAAAACCAAATTAAATCGAATAGAAAAGAGGGATTCCTGAAAAAAAAAAAAAAGGAGCCTCAAAAAGCAAGAGGGTCACATCTCTCCAGAGCATGAGAATGAAAAATAACACCCCAGACCCAGGAGGCAGATGGCTGAGAGAACCTCTCTGTAAAAGGATATGTAGTGATCACTCATGTCTCACGAATGATGTGTAGGTGCAGCAGGTGTGCATCTGTGGGTACCGCTCAGGTTAAAGTACCTCACTTAAATGCCTGGAAATGTCCCTGGAAATACTTGTGGAATACACATTTACACATTAAATCCCAGTTTGTGGGATTTCCCTGTGGTTATGCACATTTACCTGTTTGTGGGATTTCCCTGTGGTTATACACATTTACCTGTTTGTGGGATTTCCCTGTGGTTACACACATTTACCTGTTTGTGGGATTTGCACACAAAAACATGCAGGGAGGAACAATTGATTCTATTGTTTCAAACTGCCAGTTTATAAATAAGCCAAAGTAAGATTCATTTGGGCTGAAATATATGAAAAGGCCCACTTTCTTCCTAAAAGCACACTAAAACATGGCGTGTTATATGTTCAATAATTGAGAATGGACATCAAAACATGTTAGAAATGTATTTTTCAGTTCTAAAATGCTGTGTAGCTTTCTTTGGAACAAACCTCATGAGAAGTAAGTGTCATGGTAACAGTAGTAAACTGACATCTTAGAGGCAGCATTGGGTAACAAACCAGGAGCAGACAGATGCAAATATCCCTATCAGCAGTGAATATCAAGCCCAGGACTTTGTGCTTTAGAAAGGCTGGGGCAGGATCTCACTGACTCAATAAGCATATTGCAGCTGTATAAGATGAGTTATTTATTTGGCATGTCAGAGATCTTGAAAATACAGATGAATTAAGAATGAATTAAATGAACCTAAGCATACTTCTTAAGTAACTCTTTGCCAAATGGATCTCTAAAACCAAAATGAAAAATAAAATCTTTCCTCATATTGATTTCTTTCCTTTAACTTTCTCATATTATGTGTCTTCAGGCAGTATATCTGTGGCTTGCACAATGGAAAGTATTAGCTTACCTTCACAGATACTTTTCACATCCTTTCTGTAATTTCATTACCTCTACTCTAAAGAGCACAGATTAGGGTTCCATCATATTTAAAGGAAGAGCCATGGGGGAAGGGAGTAAAGGGGAAAATTATATTGTTTTTTCCTAGATTGCTTTCCCATAAGCACTAGTTGTTGAAAAAATATTCATTTTAGAACTAGAAACTTCCACTTGTCTTAAAAAGCTTTTTCTGTAGTCTCATGACAAAAATGAGACAGGAGACAGAAACAATAAAGAATTACTACAACCGAAAAACAACTCTGCTGTTTTTAGATTGATGTTGTTGCTGTAGTGGCTCAAGAGAATCCTAAATATGCAATCCATCTTTGTAAGGAACAATTCTTTTACTCAGATAATTGTGTTTCTGTGCATTTTAAAATCTCACACAGCATCTATTCCAACATTCAGACCTTTAACTGCTTACAATAAAACACAACCATTAGTTTTCTAACAAACTGTTTGAGGATTTACTCCTGGCACTGCAGCTAAATCACCTGTTACATCCTTCTGTCCTCTAGTTTCCATCCCAGACTCTAGGAAAGTACTCAGGTGGCCTTTTGCCTTATCTGTTTTGTAGTTTGAAGAATTAATTTCAAACATCCAATCCTATTTCCACATGCTGACTGCATTTTGGAAATAAGAGGTTGCAAGTGAATATCAAAGATAGGTCAAGATAATTAAGCAGGAGGTACTGGAGTACATTTTGGTACATTTTGTCATTACAAAATGCTGCTTAATTTTCATATGCACAGAAACACAATAATGACTTTCCCTTTTGTATTTGAACATAAGTCCCCACTGACTTTAGAGAACACATTTAAAAGCACAAAGCAGTCAAGTTTGCAGACTATTGCAAGTCAGAATCCTTGGATGCTTTAATCAGGACTTTTTCAGCAATGGTAAAAACTAGCTTTTCTCAAATTTCAGGAGTTATTCCAAAGCAGAGGGGAAAAAAATTGCTATCAGACAAACATTAATATAAAAGTAGTTAAATTGTTCATTACCAAAGCTCCACAGGAAAGACTGCTGCTTCAGAAGGGAAGCATAAGTGCAACAGCAAATTGTCCCTGGAGCAGAAAAAGGCAAGTTTCTTTGCAGGGTTTTTTTCTTAATTTTCTTCTTCCTCAAAATCAATAACTTGGGTTTTATGTGTCTATGATTATATTAATGCTATCAAACTTCTCTGCAGTGCCTGCAGGATACTGTTTAAGAAATTCCTGGAGAAACCAAGGCTAAGACAGAGCTAAACTGGTACATTTATGTCTTAATGGAAAAAACTATTTTGTTCTGTCAGAAAGCAGAAGCATATGAAATTCAACAACAACTCTTTACTAAAATCACAACAACCAAAAAACCAAAGATTCAAGCTGTATCCAGAATTGCTTAAATATTAGAGAACCTACCAGCACCTCGTGGGAAGATAAGGCATTGTGACAAGAACTGATTCCTAACTGTGACAGGGACGTGTACAGACAAGGCTGCAGGCCAGCAGGGAGGCACAGGCTGGGAGAGAAAACAGCCCCCGATGACACTTGGAGCACAAGCTGAGATGCTCGGATAAGGAGACTTCAGAGAAGCAAGGAGAGCAGTCGGAGTGAAGTTTTGCTCCTCTGAAGGGAGTGAAACATCCCATCATAACTAGGAACAACTAACAGAATGCAGCAAGGATGTCGAGATGAGCTGGAGGCAAAAATTAGCCAGAGCAGGGCTGGGGCTTGAGAAGATCACCCTGCTCTGGCATCATCCATTGCCCTTTCCATGGAAAGCCCAGGTGTCATTGCCCGACGCACAGAAAGCTCTGAACCTGAAGACTCACTGAAATCACGTCTAAAACCTCATCCTATTAACACTGTGGAAAGTATTTTTATTTTGAAGCAACTCGCTTGCATTCACTTTTAAACTTACTACAAATAGGGTGCTAACATTGGTTCTGAGATGTGAGATGGAGTTGCTGTTCCCTGTGTGTCCCTGCTGGCTCCTGTGCCTGCTGCCCAACCTGTTTCAGTAGTGCATTTATAAACTACCTACATCCCCAGTGCAGCTTATGGCAAGGCCTGCAAGGATCAATGAAGTTCCTGTGTGAGCCAAAACGCAGGAAGCAACAGACTGTAAAGTGAGGGAAACAAAAGTGTTTCCCCTCCAGCAGCCCTTTGCTGCCCAGCTCTGGAGAGAAGGATTGCTCTGCACTGCCCACAGAGAGCCCACAATCTAGGAAAGAGACAATCTGGGATGTGGGAATGGACACCCACCACTGCTGCCAGCCACAGGGGTCTCTGACACCAGGTTACATTCCCACCTGCAGCTCTGTGGCAATGACAGTGATAATGTGACCAAAATCAGTTTTAATTTGAAAAAATATCACTTTTGCTTTCTCTCTGGTCCCACACTGAGCAGTCCATATCATGGCTACAGTTTTGCTATATTAATTACTGCCATCTCACAGGTGTCCAGATGCCCCAAAGTAAATTTATTAGACTGGTGCCTGTGTAACCAAAATTGCGAAAATTAGAGAACAGAGACTGCAATGAAACTGATGGAGTAAAGTAGCTCTGTTACTTCAGTGTAATGGTAGATCTAATCAACTGAAAGTACCTTTCCCTTCTTTATTTATTTATTTCTTGTCCCAACTTTCAACTTTTCAGAATCAGGGGTTAATGAATAATTCATTACCAATTAAAGAGAATGACCATCAGCATTTTTTTTCCCCTCGAAACACAAAACACCTGGCTCAAAGCTTTAATGCATGAGGTAAAGATCTTTCTTTATATTAGCAAAATCTAATTTAGAAAAGTGTATTATTGATTCTACCTGTTTGTCAGAACCTGCAGTGGCATTGAGCTCAACATTGCCAGTAACTAGAAATGTAATGTGTATATGAAAAAAGCCAGGTGCATTGAAATTAGCACTAATTTTATTAGAATTCAATAGACATTTAGGTCATTTATTTCTATTTTAAGAAGGAAATGTTGTCTTTGTCTTCACCTTGATGAAAATTTACCAAAGAAAGAAAACACCATAATGATTTGTTAGGCAGTCTGGTCAAGTTGCAAAGGTTAAAGATTTTTTTCTTAGTGTATCAGCTGAAGTTAGTACCTAGGTCGATTCAAACATAAACTCTTGAGGAAAGACTCTCTCCCTCTCACCCCTGTCTGCACAGATGCCCACAAGATGCTTCATGAGCAAGATGGACCGCAGTTCATAATAAAGATCCCAAGCATTTTAACATCTTTTAGTGTCAATGCTTTGAAAGAGCTGTAGAATATCACCTAGTTTCCTCTTACTGGGATTTTACTAGAAACAAGCTCAGTAGCTATTGAAAGCACTTTTCTCTGTGAGCTCCCAGAATTCCTGAAATAAAATGAGTGGTTTACAACCAATATTTCTAAGGTTTTTCCACAGACTTATGAGACCTGAGAGAGAATTTGTATAAAATTCAACACTGAGTTTGTCCTATTACTTTCATAAAGTCAGGTTCCATTACCTGGAGACATCTTCTAAAGCAGGGTCAGAAAGCCTCACGGATTTGTGGTGCAGTAGATAGATTATGATCCATACATGATTATGATTCATACATGGAAGCCTCTTAGGAAGTGTATCATCACCATTAAGTTTGCTAAGCTGGCATGATATGATCCTGTATCTCAATCTAAATAAGATCCTGTATAAAATTTCTGTTTTAGATGTCAGCTTCAGTACCAGGCCTTCCATCTTGAAAGTTCTCATAAAGTGAGCTGTTCCTTAAGTGCTCAATCCTCTGTCACTGAAGCCAAATAGACTCTGTGTCATCATAATTTCTCACTTCCTTTTCTACGCTTAGCCTTGATTTGTCACAAAGCAACTCCCAGCTGTCTGGCAGTTAAAGTGTGAGGAGTCAAAGAACTGTACCAAAGAATTCATGCTGTGCTATCAAGACCTCAGAGATGATAACATAAACCCTAAGGAATACTGATGCCATCAGAAAAAGCATAAATATATTTTGCTGAAAAAGCCCATGCCTACTGTGAAAAAGAATTCTAAATTATTTCTCAGCTTCTTCAGAAACCCAAGCTGTCTACAGGCATCTGCTAAATCAGAGTCTGAAGAATAACTGAAGGATAAAAATTTTCCCAAGGTTTTCTATTGAATTAAATGCTTGCATGTGTTGAATATTTCCATTTATATGAAATGCTGGTCGAATACTTTTTAATATGCATACATTAACAAATCATGCTTCTTGCTTAATAAATTATATTATCCCAGAATCAAACATACAGCAAGTGTGGTATTAAAGAGTTCTGTGAACTTCAACTTGAAATCTAATTCAAATGTTTTTCACTTCATGTTGGCTTAGTGTCTCTACAACTGAATGTCTAAAGCGTGGCTTCTGCTTGTAAAATATCAGATATTTGAAAAAAATATAATACAAAAGAAGAATTTATAGATCATTAAAATAAGGTGGAAAGCCATCAATTACAAGGTTTTTATAGCATTGTTCTTAAAAAGCTTAATAATGTTTCATGCAACTATCAGATTGAACACATAATTGTTTCCACATTGTAGTAATTTATAGACATCAATTGACTAGCGCACATTAAAAATAGACTGTGTGACACAACACATCATAATTCAATGAATTGTTTAAAAATAAATGCTAAAACTCCACATATGTCCTGTTAAAAACATAAACTATTAAATTGTTGAACTGAGAATAAAAACAAAGCGTCTCAATTTTTTTTTGCACTGATTGCCTTATACCTACTGCTTCTCTCATTTGCAGTTACGTGGACTGTTTCTCCACTTCCTACCATGTAATGTACCCATGAAAATGAAAACTCCTGATAATTAAGAAAAATAATATTCATTGTGCTCAGGTAGCTGAGAAAAAAAGGGGAAAACCTTTACTTTTTATTAGCAATATTCTGCACACTGCTAGCAAATTTCCTACAGACTGAGATAAGAGCTTCAGATTTCTAACCTGCTCTTCACACAGAGATCCCTGTGGGTGCATGGCTTCTGCAGGGGATATACACAAAGAGCAAAGATTGCTAAATTTATTTCCTATTCGTTTCCTTTAACATCTACCCTAACTATCTCTGCAACAAAGACATCCACCTGAATATTTTTCCAGTTTCTGGGGCTGGTTTTGCCCTTGAACAATAACAGGAAGGGGAAGACCTTAGCATGCCACAGCACTTCTATTAATTTTGGAAAAAAGTCTGGCAGACGAGCTAGAGAAGTTAAGATACAGTTTGCAAGCAGACTGCAAGCAGTCAAAAGTGATACCTTCAGCTCAGGCATGTTTATTATAAGCTGCATAGGTAGTTTAACATCTGGGTCCTTTGTATAGTCCATGGGCACAACGTTTGGTGCCATTTCATGGTATCGGCCGTGCAACCTGTAAACAAGCAGAAACAAACAGCCAATAAGCAATTTTAAATAACCAATTCCATTCAGACAGTAATCAGGTACAAATTTGTCTTGCCGCTCTAAACATCGGTTTCAGTGCACAAGTCTGAGCCCACCGAATTCCCATCTTTGTGAAAACAAGAGGCCTTTGATGCAGCACCCAGCGTAACTGCTGCCAGCAGCCACGTGTTTCTCAAGGTCTGTCACTGAGCAGCTTCACACTGTGTATGTAACATTTGGGCACTGCCAAGTATGTGCACAGAAGGCCTGAGCCAAGGCATGTACTACAAAATGCAATTCTTGCCACATGTGGAAGTTAACTCTTACACCTAATTCAGAAAGTGCCCCTTTGTCATGTCCTGTGTATTAACACAGTGTATTCTGATCCCTCAGTGGGACATGTGTACTACTTGTGTACATTATAAAGCCATATCTTGTGACTTATTTTCCTTTTAACAAAAAATCCTGCCTGCTCACTAGGCATACTAACAGTTACATATAGAGATTACCGTGTTTTAACAGCAGAATATAAACAAAACAGTAATACAGGAAGAAACACCTCAGCAACCCCTTCATTTCGCCGCTTTACCGGCAGCAGCTCCGCACCCAACTGAACTACTTCAGGTTCCTGTGTGTAAATAAACTCCAAAACTAGGATAAAATCATCTACAGGCATCTGTTTTCTCATGATTATTATATGCCACAAAGAACACATAAAATGAAGCACAGAAACACATTTTTTCTGCATTGTAGGAAACTGATGTCCTCATGCTGCACAGCAATATTTCGTGCCATACCAGAAACTGGATATCCACTATCTCAGCACATTTCAGCTGCTTACCACAGCTCACCCTGACATTTCATAAATACTGTGTAATTCAAGATGCAATAGCTATTTTCCTCTCTAGCAATTGATTTCTCCATTGTAAATAGCAGCTAAAAAGATGCTTCTAAATACAACAGAAAAAGCAACTTAAAAGCACTTAAAAAGAAAAACTTCAAAGAAAACAAAACTTTCAAGTCCAATATCCATCAATGGGTTACCTACTTTTTTAAAAGCTAGAATACTGAAATGGTGTTCTAGTCTTCAAGAAAATAAAGCACTCATTATTGGCAAAACTTGACCATTGTGGACAACATTCAGAAATTTAGGAGCTTGACAATCCCTGCTTATTTTAACTGCCAAGATTTCCTTCTTTAATATTAGATTTGTCTCTTTATAACATGCAATATCAGTGCAAAGTAAACCTGTCACTTCTTGCTGACAGAATTCACTATCATGTCCACAGAAACTGCGATCTATTTATACTGAAATTCAGCCATACCCTTTGGCAGCTGAAATGAAAGAAGGATACAGCTCCCAGCTCTAGACTAGACTCTGACAGAATTGTTCGCAAGGCAGGTGCTGGACACAGAAACATGCAGGCAACTAGCTGTAGATTTGAGGGCAGCTCTCATATCCTGTTTTCCTCCCAACTAACTCTGCCGTTAATTCACCAAATCAGTCAAAGATCTGTGGAAGCAAGAGCTTTCTACCTGGGTGGATTTCACACTAAAGCATCCAAATGAGTCTGTAGGAAGTGGCTCTGATCTAACTCCTGCAAACTAAATTACACCAATAAAACACATCTTCCACATGCTTTTATCCACAAGGATCCAGTAACTCTATTTGTAATAGCCTTATCACATGGCATGATTAGCATTTAAGACCGTGAAAAGGGCCATAAGATTTCCCAGTACCAAACATATAGTATGTTGCACTTACTCCATTATCCTTCAAAATAAAAAACAAAAAACCCCAACCAACTGAACAACCACAAAAGACAGTAACACCTTTTCCTTCTGTAAGATCTTGATGCTGGAAGGTTCTTCAAGGACACTATGTACTGTTTTATAATCAGCTGGATTGCCAGTATCAGATACTGGATTTTGTAGAAAAAATAACAGACCTGCTTCAGCCTTTTAACAGGATGCCAAGAAAACCACCTGTCACAGTCCTTTTTGCTGGAGGTCCACCAAAACTCCCGTTCAGTTGAATAACTTATGTTGCATTGGGAGAGTACTTACTTTTTGGCAAGGAAACAATACATGTCTGATCAACTATTCTGTAACATGATGTAAAGGTCAGTAGACATCGGGGTTATTTACACCCATAATCCTCCTGCCTGTATGCAATACCTCACTACACCTTGTAGTGTTGTGCACTGTGACAAATGAGTAATCACTTCCCAAATGCTGCTCTCATTACTGAATGTTCTCTCACATCTCTCAATAACATTAATTCCTAACTACAAATAGAGAAGAAGCAAAGCTCTGGTAAAGGCTCTGATATTTCTCCTGTTTTGGAGAAGCGGAAGGTTCTTCAGGTGACCTGAACACATCAGAGCAGTTGTGACCTAGAGGAAATGCTTTTTGTCCCTTTACTCAGCATGCCCTTCACAAAATGCATGTCTGAAAACAACCTCAAACCTCTTTATCTGTCCTAGACACAGAAACATTCATGTCTTGTCAGGGAAGTAATGCAAGGTTTTGCAGTGCTGTCTGAACACACAGATTTGGAAAAGCTGCCATTATCATACAAAGACCATCATGTACATTCAGAAGCCCAAGACCAGCCTCACTGTTTTTGCAGCAGTAACTACTACAGCTGTATTTCCTTTAAAAGATTCTTCTAGATGCATGCAAAAGCATTTTCCTATTCCTGGATGTGCTCTCTTTGCCAGCAGGATTCCGTATTAACTTTGCATGGAAGTAGGAAATGAAAAATTGGCGGTGTCTTCCCTGCCACAAGTGAGAGTGGGAGGGAATGTGGTGATAAATTTAATGGCAAATTTCATTAACTGATGATGCTTTGTCCCCACAGTACTGGTACATGTTTATGCTTCATGTACAACATTCAAGGATTAAGGCTGTGATTCTGTATCATTTTAATCCAGTCTAAACCCAGACTGCTGATATGCCCTTGCAGAAATTTGAAGCCCACCAGCTACTCATGTCACTTGTGTAAGCAGTAACATTTAAGAATGTGTAGTGAGGTTCAGGGAACTGATGTGTTTGAAAAAAAAGACGTTTTCACAGTTAGCTCCTTGAGGTTACTGAAGCAGTTGTGACAGCAGCAGAAGAAAATAGGGGTTTCATTTTTCTATTAAATTAATCAATAAATGCAGAACAAGACTTACCCCTGTAGACAGCAGTAGTTTTAAAATCAACTCAGCTGCCCATCAACCAGTGAAAACCAAAGTTCAGAAAAAAGCCCACAACACACTTTTGTGTTTTCTGTCCCCACAACCTACTTTTGATTGATGAGAACTCTCATTTTACTACTTTGGGTCTTTTACATGGCAAAAAAAGGTAGGTCAGTCTGTTCCCACTTGTCAAGGGTGAAACATCCTAGAGTCAGCAAGGATGATGCTGTGGGAATTTGCTGGATATAGTCTGGGATGTATCTTACAACACAGCCTCCTGCTCTACCTGAACAGATCTGAAAAAAGAGATTTCTACGCTTACACCCTGCAGCAACCATTTAAATTCACTATTGAGCTTTGGGAGGGAGTCAGACTGTACCCAAGGTCACCAGTGGGTGTGTTAAAACAGAAAGCAGCTCTTCCTTGGCCTGGTGTACATTCATCTCCACCATTAAATGTAGTGACAACACATTACAGCTGGCTGAGCTGCCTTTTTAACAGGATCTCTGCACTGAAGGAGTGCTGAAAACAAAATATAAAAGCTTGCAATGGTTCCTTGATTAGAAACAAGTAGAGGCTTTAAAGTGGCTTTAAAAATAAATAGACATCTTCCCAGTTTTGGTCCCACAGCAACAGTCATTTGATTTATGCTGGAAGGGGAAAACATTTTTATTCAGCAATATATATCCTATTTATTCCTAAGTAAAAGGGATGCATTCAAAGACTTGTACATTACACTCAAGACCATCTCAAAGAGCAAATTCTGGATTGCTCAGCACCGTTCTGAATTGTCAGGAAAAAAAAAAAAAAGCAAATGGCTTAACTAGAACAGTGAAAGCAGGCAGTGAGTGCTGATGGACAGTGCCACCACAGGTTCACAGGAGCCATGGCACGAGCTGATTATACACTGGTTGTACGGGATGGAACAACCTGTGCCTGCAGCAGGACCAGAAGTGCAAGGCTGCTGTTCAGTTGTACTTTCGGTTATCCACCACAGAGGATAGGCTCCTGTCCAGATGCCAGAGCTGAATGGAACAGCTGGAGAAGGACTTTGTGTAACACACAGAAAAGAATTCACCACTCCAGAGACCAGCAGGAGAATTGACAAGTCAACATAAAGCCCTGGAAACAAGTCAACATAAAGCCAGGTTTAATTAATCAGCCCTTCCAAGCACCTGAGATGGATGGAAGTAAAAGAAGCAGCATTGAAGATGGGATTGCACAGAATGCAGGACAGAATGCACTGATGGGAGCTGATTTACAGCCCTTGCTGCAGAGGCTGTAGCCCTGTACTGATGCAAATCAGTGAACTGCACAGGCTCTCCTGTCTTGCAGTCCTTTAATGGACAGCTGGGGAACAGAGCCAGACACACCAAAACCTACAAGTCTGCCACACAGGGAGAAAAAGCTGCTATAGCTCAAAAAGAAGGAGGTTCTTTAATCTGGGGCTGAGAAACTAAGGAAGGAGGGGCCTTTGGGGCAGCTGATAAAGTACTTGGAGGGTCTCAGATTTATGCCATACTTGCACAAACTCCTTTTGCAATAATAAATGTTAAATGTTACACATGGTAACGGAGGCATAAATCCCTGTGCTGCACCAATTCCTCAGTGAATTATTGCTTCCAAGGATTGCAAGAGGTTAGAACAGTCTATTAGAGAAGGTGGTCTACCGTGTGAAGCTGAAACCAAAACGGCAGGAAACGTGACACAAGGAAATTCAGTCAGAAACTGAAACCACAACTCACTGACCTGCCGCAGTTTGACAAACAGATAAGGAACAAAGGACCTTGAGAAACATAAGCAGAAAGGGTTGAAAATTGAAGGAATTCTGTTACTGATATGCCTTTTTCCCTTTTATGCTTTCCAGTTGAAGTTATTTTCATTGTATCAATAAAACACAGTAACTGGGCACTGAAATCAGATTTATAAAAAGGCAGCATAATAGGATGAGAAAAAGTGTATAGATGAGTCTTCTGCTAGTTTTTAGTTAGCATGTAAAGTATTTATTCATCTTTGCAATTGCAAAATGAAGCAGCACAAATTAATTTAAGAGAATACTACAAAAATATCCTCTCAAATCATATACAGTAAAATTAAAAAGAAATTGTGAGAAATGTGTTTGGCAGACAATTTATAATAACTAGTTATAATTTATAATAACTAGTTATAGTTATGAAAACTCTGACTTCCAATATATGTACCTTACTGCTCCCAGGCCTACATGATGCAAAGTGAGTATAGATAAGAACACTTGATAATGTTTTTCCTTCCTGAAGTGCCACTCAAATCCCTGCTCACAGGCATCTTTTCTGCTGGTGGTTCCAAGAATCACAGAGTGACTGAGGTTGCGAGGAACTCCTGAGATGAACTGGTGTAGCTGTGATATTTTATTAAAAATCCTTTCCTAGGATTTTTCCCCTCCTGAGGAGCTGGGAGCCTCAGGAAAGAAATGTAAACAATAACTATCTTCTGCTGTGGAATGCAACAGGTGCATCTTCCATTGCTCCATGTGGATTGTTTTCGATTGATGACCAACCACAGCCACCTGTGCCGAGGCTGTGAGCAGTCACAGGATTTTGTTATGCATTCTGTTCTATTCTTGTTCTTTGTATCCTTCTGATCTCTCTGTTCTTTTAGTATAGTTTTAATGTAGTATTTTAGTATAATATTTAACATAATAAATCAGCCTTCTGAGAAACACGGAGTCAAGCCTCGTGTCTCCACACACAGAGAGTTCGTTGCAACAAACTGGTGCAACCTCCTGCCCAGCAAGGGCACCTGGAGCAGGCTGCCACATCCAGATGGCTTTTGAGTATCTCCAAGGCTGGAGATTCCAAAACCTGTCTGGGCAGCCTGTTCCAGTGCTTGGTCACCCTCACAGTGCTTCCCTGTGTTCAGGCAGAACCTCCTGTGTTTCTGTCTGTACCCACTGCCCCTTTTCCTGGCATGGGCCTCTGTCTCCTTTGCAGCCTCCAGATCTCAGCTCTCTCAGCCTTTCCTCATATGAGCCAGTCCTCAGTCCCCCATCGATCTCAATAGCCCTTTGCCAGATGCTTGAGCAGCTGTACTGGGGAGCCCACAACTGGACACAGCACAGCATCACTCCAGACTCCATACAGATCAACAATGACAGGGATTCTTTCCTCTCACAAGCCTTAGCAAAACAGGTACAATCTGACTTAAATATAATACAGGAAAGGTTTATGGTACGGAAATACAGAGACTGCCTAAAACTCTTTTTTTTTTCCTTTTTCATTCATAGAGGATACAGAAATATTTTTAACAACAAGAATAGTAACATAATTATCAAGAAGATCAACAGTAGCTTCAGAATATATGTTCTTTGTGTGTATAGTTCCTTGCCTAAAACTCAGGAAGATTCCCAAGGGTATAGAGCTCCCCTAATGTCATTCTTTTGGCTGATGTGTTTTCCTCCAAAGCTGACAATAGGGCAATTCCCCTTTCTGCATACAAAACTTCAAACTCTCTAAAAGAAAAACAAGAGTTGTTTTCTAATCCTCCCTCCATTTGTGTAGCAACTTGCTCCACAGCAAGCTGCCTCCCAAGCAGTTTGCTGCCTCTGCTCCCTTATAAGGAAGCTTTCCAGACTCTTGAAGTAACCACTGCTTAATTCTCTGGCAGATTTCAGATTTAAAATCCAACATTCAGCTGGATTGGCTAGAAGGGCTCCTGTTACCTCACCTTTCACCCATCAAGAACAAGCCACAAAACAGGTGGAGAAGAGAAGGCAACAGAAGAGCTATTTTTCTTCTATCAAGGTTCAAAGGTTTGCTGACATCCCAAACGGTGCCCAGCTTGGTCATTTAGTGCCATGTTCCCCTGGCAGTTGTCTAACTAGGTAAAGTCACTCTCAAGTAATACGACTTGAATTGACAACTTTTGTGCTTTTTGGCTAGGACAGACTTCCAAAAACACATGCATTTGAGTGCTTGTTTGGGTGCCAAACTGTACAAGTCTTCAGGGAGAAGCAGAAACAGATGGGCTGATGAACAGTTAAGCATTATTGCTAGAGTGAAAGCTTGTCTGCCAGAAAATCAGATTTGTAAAACTGAGTAAGAGAAATAATGCCTTATGAGAGACAACTCAACCATTTGTTCCCATTTACAATCACAAGAGAGGAACGTTATATAATCAGATTCATTGCTATAACTAAATGGTTTTCCCAACTTTTCTTCATGTTATTTTTTTTTCTTTTTATTCCTGTTTCTCTCTACAGGATGTTTTCCAGGATAACAAATCTTTTTCAAATGGTGATGCCCAAAACTGGACAGTCTATTCCTACTGAGGTCGCAGTACTGCTGAACGGAATTCTCCCATTTTATGAACACTGCTGAGGCTAATGCATTTTAGAAATGCATTTCTCTTTTTTGCAAGAGCATTGTGGGGCATGGTGTTGTTAAAATGATGCTTACTTTGCTCAGATCACTAACTCCCCAGCCCATTTTTTTGATACACTCCATTCTGCACTTGCAAATTTTTTCTCAGTTCTTAGGACTTAAGTGTGTGAATTTTCTTTTGTTCACTTTGACTCTAGTAATTTCTCTAACGTACTGAGTACAGCTGAAAAAGCAAATCTCGATCTTCATAGCATCTGCAACTCACTTCACCTCAATGTTTCTTACCATTCTCACCAATTTTCTATGTTCAATGTTCAGGAGTATTTTGACCAAGAGTTCAGTGCACTTACACAAGTAGAAAAGGACTAACACAAACTGGAATATGTAGAAGTCTTTACCAAAATAAAGACAGGTTGCAGCTACTTCTTTTCTCTGACTTACAAAAGGAGATACTCACAGGAAGATTTGCTTTTAACAAATCTGCAGTGGCTGCCTCTGAGCATGTATTAAGTTCTAGGCACTTACAGACTGATTGTCTACCAGTGTGTTCTGGCATCTCTCCCTGCAGAAAAGTTGTGTCCTGAAGCTACACACATTGGTCTAAATTTCCTTAAGAAAGGAAATTCTCCTTAAGAAAATGGGGGCATGTTTTCAAAGCCCTAACACCACCAAAGCAACCAGTAACAGCTCTAAAAATTTGTCAGATGTCATATTAATATTTTAGATAATGTTTTGAGTCAGTGATAACATAAATATGTCTACAATAGCCAACATTCTTTAATATGTTCTTGCCCTGGGGCCCATGACTGAATGCTCATAGCTGCGATCAGCACTTCCAAAAATTAACCATCTTTAACCAAGATTTAGGAGTGTATTTAGGTTTTCTTGTGATAAACAGCTATCAAATACCAATAGTGAGCTATGGTTCTCTTTCACCAGGCACACTTACCTCTACTGCAGTCTTACTTTATATTTTTTCTTAGATCCATTTTCAGCATTTTGTGTTAAACTTTTCTTCACTTTAAATTAATAAGTTATACTATTTTCTAATAATTTGCACATTATCCACACTCAGATTACTAATCAAAAAAAATGTCTTCAAGCCCTCTGACCACAACCTGTATTTACGTTGACTTGAGCTGCTGTTGACACCAAAGCCTTGCATTCTAAAGTCAGTGTGTAAGTCAATCCAACACCTTACTGGCAGGGAAATGCTCTCCTCATTTTCAGTTGCATTTGCTCACTGTGGCTCTCATGCCAGCTTTGGCACTCATCTGATCCTTTAGAGAGCTGATTCAGCTTATTAAACCAGCAGAAAATAGATTTACTGTTGTTTGGGGTTTTGATGGGCTGCTTTCCCTGTAGGGACAGATAAAAACACTTAGCCTGTTTTACCTAATTGCAGTCTCATGCTGGTTTACATCAGTTTATAGCAATCTAAATTGAAGCTGCCATATTCATTCCTTCATCCCCACCTACACAACAGTCATTAACAGCCATGCAAATGGATTGTGAGACAGACAGGGCTTTCTTTTTTTTTTTTTTCTTTTTGTAAGGTTGCTCCTTGTTGGATCATCTCACTGAAGTCAGCAGCTGCACAAGAAATTCAGTTCAGCCTAAAGAGGACTCAACATGCATTTCCTCCACATCAGCCCTGTGAGCATCCTGCAGGGTAAATAAGTGCCCAGCAGTACCTGGTTGCCCCTCCACTGAAACAGGGAGATGCTAAATCAGTAAGTGCTAATTAACCAGGGAGTCATAACCCATTTTATTCCTGCTCACTAAAACTTCACCTCAGACTTGTAGAAACACCTCTGGATTCTACACTGACTGCAGGATGTGCCCTCACTGGTATCACTGAGCAGAAAAGCAGCAAATCCCTTTCAAACAAGTCACTGTCTCAACCCTAAAATAGTCTGTGATACTCACTTTAAGCTAATCACCACCTGATGACAATTATACATTATAAGTGTATCTTAAATCCAATCCTACTCTATTCTATACAATTAATTCCTGCAGAATAACAGGCATTATCTGGTTTCCTCACAAGTCAGATAAAAAGATTTAACCCCTTCCACATGGATCACGAAGGAGAAATTTAAAAGAATTTACTTACCGAAGGATTTCCTTCCGAGTGAAGAACGTGCAATCCTGTTAAAGAAACAAATTGTGTCATTGTACTACAGAAATATTGAAAACAACAGCAAAGAGTTATTTCCTTTCCTTTTGAAAGAAACTCAGATCTGACAGAAAAACATTAAATATGTTTGGGTGCCATCTACACTTGACTCAGAAAGCAATATACACTATAAAAAAATAGGAATATTTCAATACAGGCCTATCAGTAAAAAGAAAGATCTTGATATTGTGATAGTTCAGGAGGAAAAAACAGGTTGCTGAGATATATCTCCAATGTAGAATGACCAGACCAGAAACAAAACTAAATACAAAACAGAAGGTATATGCCAAAAGTATTAATTAAAAGAATATGGAAAACTAAAAACAACAATCTGTTGTTGATGACAAAAACTGTCTTCTTACTTTAAGTATCCCCCTGCTGGAGACAACTGGTTTAATCATAAAATTATGTAGTTATTTATTAGTTATTAACCATTTTTGCTAACAAACACTTTGCACTGTGGTCACTTTGCTGAAGGCTGCAAACTCCTTTATTTTAGGAGCATGGATAAATGGATAGCCCCTGCCCTGAACAGCAGCAAACCATTCAGCTCTCCCTGTGCTATCACAGAACTAGAAATAACTAAAATGCTAAAGTAGAGCTTGCTGAACTTGAGAGAAGAGATACAAGCATTCACTTGCATTCTAAATGGCTCTGTGATGTGACTGAATTTACACTGGTTTAATTCACTTCACAAACACCTCTGTTATACTAGAATTCAAACACTTCACCAAAGAACCAGAATATGAGCAGTGGCAGAGTTTGCATTTCATGCATTTCTACTTCAGTCGCAAAAAATATAGATAATTTCAGGTGCTGTGAGGAAAAAATAATCAGTCCCATCCCATTCAAAAACAATCCCCTGATCTCCACTCGTACCTGGTATGTATTTAATGGAAACTCTGCCCTGCATCTAAGACTAGGAACACTAGTGGTAGTGAAATATTTGATAATCAGTTGAGAACATCATTCATCGATTCAGAGAATACGTAACTTGAACTTAGAGCCAGCTCCTGAGGTTGTATATATAGGGGACAACCACCAACACAGAAAATTCTTCCTGATTACCCACCTCTCTCACAGGCCCATGTGATGTGGCAGGGCATTTTCCTAACCATTCAGATCTTTGTAGCTTTCCCCCTTTAATGGAAAGATATTTAGAATGTATCACCTTTGAAAATCAGCTTGTGACAAGATAACAGTATCAGACTTGGAAGTCACACTTGAAGGGTACATACAGGTATTTTGTCTCTACAAGTCCTGCTCTTCAACCAGTGAAAAAGTATTTCTTTCTCAAGCTCAGACTCACTGGGGCTAAATGCCTTTTTCTTCCAAGGAGGGGAGGAGCAAAGGATCCCTTGCTGGCAGAAGCAAACAGCCTGTCTCAGGTGTCCAGGAAGACGATCAGTCCCACAGACATCAATTATTGAGCTGCCCTGCTGTCCTCCACACAAAGTGCCTGGAGCAGCAGCTCTTCCTTCAGAGGATTGTGCAGTTACAAGGCCCAGGAGGAAGCGCCTTGGGAGCTGCTGACACTGATGTCACATTGTCTGCAACCGCACAAAGTGACGTTGGAGCCAGCTGGTCAGGTCTTCCTTAATTCCACACAATCAACACAGTCAAACTGTCACTTAAGGACACTTCATTTACTAAGAAAGGGCAGGTGTAATCTCACAAATAATTGTAATGCCCTCAGCAGCAATCATCTGCAATTATACAGGCTGGAGAAAACAGCAGCCACTTAACCAGAAAGCTGACAGGAAAGCGATGTACAAATGGAGACAAAGATGAAAAGGAAAAGTTACCCTTTACCTTGTACAAGTCCTGCAAAAATGCTATTGGAAGACAAATTAGGTCAGATAATGAACCATTTTTGCTGACAGTCCACACATTTTTTATATCTTGTTCTGAGTTGCATCATGACCTTGAAAATAAACACTGCTGCCTGCCTGTTTTTTGATCAACAAGTTTTTTACTAATGTAACTACCCCACTAATACTGAAAACCTCTATAGCAGAAGCAGTTGCAACTATCGACCTAACCACTGTTACTGACAGCTCTGTTTCAATTACACCTGCCAATTGCATGGAATTGTCTGGGATGAAGGGTGCCAAAAAAATTCAAGAATGGTCTCACTCTTAAGAGAGATCTTAAAGCTACTCAGGGTCAAAGCACCAAAAACTCACTGTGACCTGGCCTATACTCTTGATCCAGCCAGCTATGAAACAATTTACCACAAAAAAGCCTGTCTGGTATCAAATGGCAAGTGCAAAACCGCAGCTCCACGTGACCTCTGATAGGGAAGTGCAGCCACCCCTCTTGCTTCTCCCACCCTTTTATTTCTGCCCGTTCCTTTACGCAGACTTCACCTTGATGAGCAGAATAACTGCATCAGAGAACTCTGAAGGAAGGAACTAATATGTTTGTAAATGAACCTAGCAATACTGGACACATTTTCAGCTCGGATAATTTCCTTTTATTGACTTAGAATATAGCATTGGCAGTGCTGGTACAAGAGATGAAGGTGAAACAAGTATCTGTTGATGGTAGGAAAGGGGTGCAGGACTGAGTTAATTTTCCTTTTTTTTTTTTGAAATCACAGCCCTCAGTTGGATTAAAATCATGATGGAAAAAAAGGTCTAAATAACATAATTACATTTTATAATTGCTGGAATTTAATTCCAATTTAATTGAAGACTTTTGGCCAAAGAAACACGGAGATGAATCATCCAATTTTCTTCTGGCTACTGCAATCATACAGAAAAATACACAATGAAGGACAATAAATAGTAAATTAACATGTTAAATTCACTTACTCATAAGGAAAGGTGAAGTGGGCTCTGGAAAGCATTTGTCATTTATGCACATGATAACTTTGATTTTCCTGCAAGCCAGAGATACCATGGAACACATTTGCTATTTTGTGGATAGTATTTGAGTTTACTAAAAACACAAAAAGCAACCTCTCTGTTCTGTCTGGACACTAAAATGTCTGGGAGTCCTGCTAGAAAAGCAGAAACTGAAACAAATAAACCTTACCAGAGTTTTCATAATTTTTATCAGTTCAACATTACTGGCAAGAACTGTTCCTGGGAATTATTGCCTTTATTTCTAGTGCTACACAATGGCCTGAAAGACTTCTGCTAACAGCAGGCCCTCGGGAGCTTTAGCTTCTTGAGAACAGAGGCTTTGCCTTGACAGGTCACCTATTCCAGCCCCTGAGAACAAACATGCACCTTTTCCAAGATCAACTCTCCCACTCAGTGTGCCCTCGTCTCCTTAATAATCAAGTAAATTACAAGTCCAACACGGGACCACTGGTGGTTGTTTGGAGGTAAGATACCACTAGAACAAATCTGCAGTTATCTACTTAACATCTTGTAACAAAGTGAATACAACCAAGCAAACAGAAAATAAATTTCCTATTGATTTCCAGGAGATCACAATCTTGTATAATGGGACTTGATTCTCAAATTTAGCATTTAGATGGCTTAACTGCTTCTTAAAATACTTTGAAGAGAGAAGAGGCAGACAGCTGGTGTATTTAGGTTCCACAGGTAGCTTGGCTCATGGCTGGTAATTGGACTTTCTGCAAGTCACTCAGCATTGCTTGTAAAGTGCAGTTAACAGTCTCTGCTCTTAAAACTTAATTTTTATAGCAGAGCAGCATGCACACGCTGTTAGTTTTATTCTTTTATTTCCTATGTCAGGTGAATGCAGATTTAGGAAAGAACAGACTGAAATACAGTGGTCCACCACCTTGTGCAGTCATCTGCGGGACTTGACTGCAAACTCCTCGGTTGGTTCTGCTTTGTATTGAGTTCTACATTGATTTGAACAAAGCCAAAAAGGACAGAGAGATGCTCTGACAATGCTGCTATTAACTGTCTGTGGGCTCCACTCAGCCCACGTGCCAGTTGTTCTGGGGATGGATTGCCAGCTCACAGAGCAGCACACAGCTTATGAATGGCAGCAGAGTCCAGTGAATGGGAGGTTACCAAGCACCACTCCCAGGAACAAGCACTGCGCATAAAGCACAGCTCTGAAACAGAGCTGATTTCATGGAGGTATGCAAAACATTCCTCTACAGAACAAAAACTGGATAAATTAGCCACAGAATGAAAGAATAGAAACACTCAAATATGCTGTGAAACAGTATTTCTGAAAGCCATTAAATGCATATTTCTCTTCTAAGATGATACATATATATTCTGTTTTGTATATGTATAGTTTCATAAGATCAGGTTTACTTTGACCCTGCAACAGCTTAATTAGAAACTTTTATTAATACAAAATTAATATTAATCAGTCTTATAAAATCACTGAAAATTAAAAAAAAAAACAAACAAAAAAAAAACAACCCAAAAAACCCCACAGCCTCAAAGATAATGCAGATATGGGAAACCATAGAAACTATATAGCTATCAAAGAGCAGCTCTTAAAAAATGCTAGCTATTGGATGCTGCAGCACTTTAAAAGGTAATATTTAAAGCAAATTACTTCAAAGGTTTCATTTTTAAAATTGCAAATGACGTTTTGTACTGTGCCAAAGTACAAAATGTGTGTAAGAGCATTTAATCAAAACACCCAAAATGTCATTCTGTGAAGCAACCAAGAATCTGGTCCAGACAGAAGCAAATTAACTCTTATATAAAAGATCTATTATTAACTCTGTTCTAGTAATGTTTTACAAATGCAATACTTTTGTTCTACATTTCACACGACAAAGACTGGCATAGAGTTGTGCAAGACTGAGTCTGCAAGATATTTATGTATTTTCATCACTGTTAGTGTATAAAGAGTTAACAGACTCAATGAGTTAAAAATGCTGTTTGCATCGGAACACAAATTAAAATTTTACCACACAGCTCATCCTTACTTGTCATCATACATACTTCACAATTACACCCAAACCAACCAAAACACCGAGTTTCAGAAGGAAAAAAATCTGCATCTGTAAGAACCTGTTTATATATTCATATGGCAACAGGGAGTAAAAACAAGTCAGACATTAGCAAGGACTGAAAAAAAGCAAACTGCCAACAAAAGTTATTTTGTTCAATCTACAGATACACCAAATGGTAATATGAAACAAGAACCTGACCAAAGGATATTTTCACAAAAAACTTTCTCCATTATTATACTACTTTTACTTGCACAATAACAGCAATACTGTATCAAATGAAAAATACTTTTTACAGAATATCCCGGGGAACCTATGAAAGTGCTTGTATTCCTGCAAAGGGTTAATTTTCCAAGACCCTGGGTCTTGGAAAAAAAAGACCCTGTCTTTTAAAAAGACAGCTTGATGAACCTGTTTTATTTTACAAATGGTGTTTCTTGACAGATCAAAACATAATTAATTTAATCTGGCTTTGCATAATTCTCATGAAATATAGTTGAATTGCATTTTGACTTCAATTTTGATAAAAACAAAAAAGTGAGCTCTGTAATAGAGAAAATCTTGTGTAAAAGAAGAAAGTCATTACTTCACCATACTATATTGTATTGAGATATTGCCTATAAGACTGCCAGGGTAAATATCAGTTTGTTTTGAGACTGCATTCAATAATGCAGAGTAAATAATACCATTAAGGAGCAATTATAAATGGCTTGCAATAAAACCAGTAATATGCCTTATAATCTCTAGGTTCCAGAAGAGAAATAAAACAAACAGATCACTGAATTTGTACTGAATTCAGATCTCTTGATTCAAGTAATCCCAGAAAAGGAAATGAGATTGACTGAACAGTGCAGGAGTTAGTCCACAGCCCAACTACAGTTTCTCTGCATTTCCTACTCAATACAATTGTTTCTCACTTAGAAATGCTGTGTACCGAGGTGAATAAATGGCTCTGAATGAATAAATAAGTTGCTTTACAGCATACTTGTATTTTCCATTGCTTTAAGCATCAGTACACACTCAAAACACCCTAAAATTTCAGTTAATTTTCTTTTTTCCATATGAGACTTGACCTGCAAAATCTGTAGGCAGCTTTTAAAATCTTAATTTTAAAATGTTTTATTGCAATGAAACCCATCTTTCTTGCCTATCAGTACTTACCTTTTCCCTCACCAGACCTTGGTTAGATTTCACATTTTCTGTATTAAAAAATCCCTCAACAACCAAAAGCCCCATTGACAAAAAAAAAAAACCACAGGCAGAACTCTAAGGGCATAAGAATAATAAATACCCAGTAAAATTCCTTTTCTTACAAGGCTAGTATTTTAAATGATGTGAATCTCTATGAGCAACCCAGTGCTAGCAAAAGCCTAATGTGCAAAACATTTCCCTAATCTTATGAAAATGTAAAGAGCTGCCAACAAGAACACTACCATAATAACAGGTGATATGATCTTAATAGCAGGTGTTATGACAAGGTGTTAGACTGGAAAGCTGCACATCTCCTTTTTTGCTTTGCTTCTACTTACTTGAATTTTAAAAAATGAAACAAAACAAAAAATAAAAACCCCACACACAAAAAAAACCCCAACCCTGAATGGTTTAATATTATCAAGTTCAATTACAGGTCTCTTGTACAAAATTTCCACTGGCTACCAGTCTTAATGAAGAGCATTTAAAATTGTCCATTGAAAACACTGAAGTTATCCTGTGGGTGACCACATTTACAATTGTTTAATTTAAAATTAAAAGTTCTGCTAACAACTGGCTCTTCAATATGACAATTTACATGCAAAAAATTTACATGCATACATAGGCCTTTCAGAAAGTTTTAGATAAATCAAACAATTTGATTTATTTCACTAATATTACACTAATGATCTGACATTTATGTATGCTAGCTTTTCAAGCAGGTGATTTTTCTGCAGCTTAATCTTCACTCTCTAAAGCCACAGCCACTTGGATAGGTTTTACCATACTTCAGGCACATGAATTTTAGGCAATTTTTCACCTCATAGTGTCTTTTATGGAACAAACACATAAAACACAATTATTTTTTTTAATTATAAAAATCTTCCTCCTGAAGCAATATTAGGTGCTATAAGCTCAAAGCAATTTGTATGAAAGACAGAAATAATAGAATGTACAACAAGATAATACAATATCCAGAAATAGATTTCAATAAAGAAATTATAAGTCTAACCATGAGGGGAGTGAGGTTTTGAACAGTCTACCAACAGGAACTGTGAGGAAGTAAAGAAAAAAGAACAACCAAGATATATTTTACAAAAAAGATTGACACTTTTGCTTCTGAATGCTGATACTATGAACAATGTTCATAGTATCACTGGACCACTGTTGTAAGGAGTACAGAACTAACTCACAGACACATAAATTCACAAGAAACTGCTTTAGGGAAAAAAAAAAAAAGAGTCAGTGATCAATTTATAAAAGCAATTTATATGTAGATGCCTTCCTGGTCACTGGGATATAGATGTGCACAACAGACTGTTGCAAAGTGGATTGTGGTACACAGTGTTTTACTTTGGTAAAGGCCCCGGTAATTCAGCTGCTGGCTCAAGACATGAAAAATCTGCACTAAAAAAATTATGGAAACATTGCCACATTCTTCCTTTTTCTATTCTGAAGAAATTCCACAAATGAGAAGTAGGCAGGTAAGACAGCCAATTCCAAGTCAAACAGCTCCACTTGCAAAGTGCCGTCTCCCCCAAGATGCCACGGAGAGGCAAAAGCTCTGTGTGTGGGTGGCTCCAGCAGTCAGCCCAGGCTCTTTTTATTTAAAAGACTCAAGAGAGATGCAAAACTAAGAGATCGGAGGCAAATCACCATCAAAATTATGTCTTTATCTGATTCTTCACAGTATGAGGCTAATGCTCCTTCCTGACAAAATCTGCAGGTCACTTATTGTCCAGAAACCTGTTATTTTATGGTATTTGCCAAACATAGTCAAAAACTGTCTAGCTCTACACTAATGAACTGCAAGTCTGCCTGTAACAGAGAAATCCCAAAGGCGACTCAATCCACTGGGCCAAACTCCTGCCAGGCTTTGAGATCAATTACCCAGCATTATGAAAGGCAGGGGCTGCAAAAGCCATTAGAGAGAGGCAATTTCTGCATGAAGAGCACTGAATTAGGGATGACATTTCAGCTCTTGCATTTGCCAGTTTATGTCCAGAGGATAACATTAATTACATTTAGATTTTGTTTTGTTTCACTGCAGTTGTGCTCTGTTCTGTGTTCACGTCTATTGTTAGTAGGAAGACTGGTGCTTTACAGATCTTTGATTTCTCTCTCGCCTATCCAGCAGGGATGTGAAAAAGCTTTTTTGGATCTTGGACTGCTAAGTCTAAGATCATTAACTTAGATTAATACATTGCAGACTGCTGGTGAGAATGTGACAAAGTGGAAATTAAGAAGGTACACTGTCACATTTCCTACAATGACAAAAAAACCCCACTATGTATTTATAAAAGCATTTAGTTTATGCCTTACTTTTAGTGTGGGACAACGGTTGAAAGCATTTTAGCATACACACCAGGCCTCACTCCATGGCTCAATATTTACACCTGTGACAAGTCCATGTTCGCAGAGACTTGAAATAAAATTAGTAACTAAAATACTAAATTCTACTTCAATAGTATTAACCAAAGATCACAAAGGTAAAATGTTATTAAGTTACCCAGTCCCTTAAGGGTCTGTATCTGTCCTTTGGTTATCACAAGATAAACTAGATCTTGATTTCCTGTGCTGCTAATTCAATGTTTGTCATGTAGGAGAACAGAGCAATGCAGCCAGCCTTGGCTGCCTCTCTTAATAAGTAGTCAGCTGCCTGCTTCTTGAGCACACTTCTACTCAATGCTTTGCTTCACTGTATTTTCAGAAACTTGTTCAAGATGCCCACTGTGCAGACAGCCTCCTGAAATCTATTTCAGTGAGATCTGCAGTGTGCTGAAACGTGACTTAAAATAGGGGATCCTTTTTTTTTTTTTTCTTACCCTATTTAAAAGCAGTTTATGCAATGTTAAGTAAATAAAGAAACCAAGTTATCCCTGACATAAAATGTACACTTACTTATGATGAGGTAAGAAACTGCTTCCAGGAGTGGATACAAGTATAACAACACCTATTCTGGAATTACACTAAGCATATTTCTTTTACTTATCCTTAGGAGAAGTGAATTTAGACAACATCTATTTTTTCCTTTCCACTCTATTGTGAGCAATAGAGGGAGAGAAGGTGCTACACTGTTGTCAAGCTACTCACAATCTTTTTTCTGCTTCCTAGTTCAGACACTGAGGATGTGACCCTTCTTCCTCTATACAGAGAGGGAATTAAATTAATATATTCAACAACCCAGCCTTAGAATGTTATTATAGTTACTGGAAGGAACAGTAGAATATATACATGCAGGTTGCAAAGAAAGTTTTCAATTATATTGAAAAAAAAAAACCACTCCCCAAACCAAACAAAAACCCAAATCATAAACATACGTAGATTACTCCCTTTAATCCCTTAACGCAAACCAAGATATCTTACCTGGTAGGCATCTAGCTGTTCATCAGTAAATATCGTTTGCTTATTACCCATCTTAAATGAGGAATTCTTCCTCTCTGCAAATGCATCCCATTAGAAGTAGCTGGATTCCTCTGTATTGTAGGCATTTAGAGCACGTATACTCCGTGAGTGTACTGAAAAAATCCCAGAGCCTGCATTGAACTGGTTTGGATGGCACCTGCCCAGTGAGGAAGGACACAGTCTGAGAAATCTTTGCAAAGGCTTAACTGGAGTGTGCCAGGAAGGAAAGTGTTAAAATCACAGGCAGGCGTCGTGCAAAAACAGGGATGCCAATCTGCCCCTTTTCAGATGCTTTTCTAAGAGGCACACGGAGCTTTTACAACCCAAACACCGAGCAGCCGCTCGCAGCAGAACGCAGCTCTCTCGCCTCGGGGCCTCACTCAGGGCGCTCCACACGGCACCTCCAGCTTTTGGAGCAGCTCTGCGTCAGCCGGTGGCGCTGGGCAGCGCAGCCGTATTGCCAGGCACCCCAGCCAGCCTGGGAACGGGAGCGCACGGGCACCGCCACAGAGCAGCCGGCTCCGCGAGCTGCCCGGGGAGCTGCAGCCCCACCGTGCCTCACGGCCCCACGCCCGCGCCAGCCTCCGCGGGAGCTCCGCGGGAAACACTCGTGTCTGCACGGTGCCTAGCGAGGATGGGAGCTCACCGCCAAAGGTACCGAACTGCCGGTTACAGCAGTGAACACACGGACTCCTTCCCACGTTAACTACATTTTAAAAAGTCAGCAAGGTTAAAGTGTTAAACAGACGCTATCCTGCCTCCTTAGGCTCGAGCAAGCACAGCTGGGAAGGAAAAACCTAAAAACCTCTACCACAGCCTAAAGCAAGAGCAGAAAGTGCCGGTAGAGGGCTCACGGTGTGTTTCAGTGCGCCACAACCCTACTGACGGGAAAGTAAAAAAAAAAAAAATAAAAAAAGTATCTATGAGAAGCAGACAGACAAAATCATATTATCTAACATCTGCAGAAGGATAAGCTCTTATAACAACAGCAGGAAGAAGTCTGAGTGAGAAAGGATGGCAACGGGGAAGAAGGACCCATTATAAGCTCACTTTCCATTCAGGCACATTGGAACAGAACAGGGTAAAATTTCCAACTTCTTTATTTGTAGTCTGCCAATGGTCATTATTTCCTCATCAAGATAGCAAGTTTAATAAAAACACTTGGAGAATTATCGTGTACTTTTCCCTACAGCTTCTAATGATCCTGGCCTGATAGCAGGATTGGATAATAGGAGTTCACTTTACCTTGGCATGTAACAACAAACATTTAAAAGTAATAGTGAAAGCAAATATATTGTATACATAGTAAAAATATCCTACGAAACGTGTTGGATATGTAGTAAAAACATTCTAAAAGGTGCTGAACCACAGACCGTTGTAAGAGATGGCTTACCCAAATGATAACACTTAGAAATGCAGGTTTGATTAGCTGCAAACCAACACTGTCCTGAGCTACAAAAATTACAAGGTATATCCTGTATACAAAATAAATGCCTGGGGATGAGAATGTAGGCAATAAGACTTATTAGCAATAAGCAAACGTCAGAATTGTAACACCACAGAAATGCATTCTAGCAATAGAGCATATTGGAGCACGGTTTCAGAATAAGAGGGAAGAAGCTACAGTAGGAAGGAAAACACAAACAGAATGATTTACCACCAGACCAAGAGAGCAGCAAGCATCTGTTCAAATACCATACAGCTGTACTGTCACATGGCAAAACCAATCTGTTTTCCCAGCCACTAGTGCTTTTTTTCTCCTTTTCCCTGGTGTGTAGTGACATTGGATTCCTATTATGTTCCAAAAAAGTTCTCCACAGGTAAGTCAGAATATTAAAAATAATTTTTAAGAATCTGCAAAATAGAGTATTTAACTTTTTTAAATCAAAAAACCAACAATCTGTAAGGGCCCCTTGAGACTAAGAACTTGCACTGTTCTGAAAGTTCTTACCTGTCCTCAACTCTGAATGAGCTCCATCATTGGCTTTAGTGGTTATATGTATAATTAAGCATGGTTAATATCTCTGATCTGGTGCTACTGAAACACAAGAGATAACAGCTGCTCTCAATCAGACCAGGCCAATACTTAGGCAAGTGATTTGCATGAAATGGCATTCCATTCACAGCCACCTACTTCAAGCTGCCCATCTATGCAACCCAGATTAAATACAAATGGCCAAATTACCTCTAATGTCATTATACAGAAGTTAATCAGCAGCAGGGGTGGATTTGGCTCTGTATCTTTTAATCTTCTGATTCTGTACGCTTAACAACATTCCTACAGTGAAAAGCTGACATTCCATCTCTTCATTTTTCACCTCCTTTTATATCCCTGGCTGCTTCCCCTGTACCCAAGATGACAAACACATGAAAAAGTCTCTATCTTTTGAATCAAAATAACAGCAGTAAAATAGCAGCAGAGCTTAATGGAAAGCATTAACTAGGTAAGGTTTATTTGTGGTTACAATGTAGGCCAGAGGATTCAGAAATAACTGTAAAGGTTTACACTATACCAGCTAGCTCTTCTCAAGCATATCACAGTGGTAACTGCATCTCAATGCACAATTACCTTGCTGTGCTAATTGGGTAAAATTTAAAGACAGTATAATACATGAAGTCTTTTTCACTCCTATTTGTTTGTACATGTCAAAGTTCAGCTGATCTTCCAGTTTACTATTCTGGACTTCTTCTATCTGTTCCTATTTATCAAAGATTAGCTTATTTGCCAGTTGGATGTTAAGCAAACTTGCTGTCAGCATGTTGCTGCAACAAATCTGTCGTTTTCAATGTGCACAGCAAGAACTGACCTTAAATACTACTGGTACCACCACCTTTCACTATATCTCAGTTTTTAAAAAACTGTTTGCCAAATCAAGTGTTTTGAAGCAATTAGAAATAGATAACAAACATCCTACAATAGGTTTCAGATAAAGTTTTGTAAGGAGGACAATATATCTAGCACAATCTTGCCTTGTCACTGCCCATTGTACCAGAGATGATGGTTAAATAGCCCCTGCTTATCCGCTTTAGAAGTTTAACTCCCAGAGCAGGAAATACACTGTTACTCACGCACCCCAGAGTAGTGTGGGACAGCAAGACGGCTGTCAGCTGCAATGGCCTCGGCTGGCCACAGCTGCAGGATTTTTTTTTCCACAGCCACAGCACAGGCAGTGGGACACACCAAGCTGGCAGCTCCACACAGCCTTTGGTGCAAGTTTCTCTGCTCTGAAGTGTGGCAAGCCCTGGGTGTCACAGCGGGTGATTGATCTGATTGATGAGGAGAGGTGTAAGTTCCACGGCCTCCAACAGACAGGTCCGAGTACCTTAAGCTGCGTCTGTAAATTATGCAGTGAGAATGTGAAGGTTGCTTAAGTATAAAGTCCAAGCCCACACCAAAGGAGGCTCAAGCTACTCTGAACACGCCACTTTACCACAAAAGGATCCACACGGAGTTTTAACAATCAAGTTGCAGATCTGCTGCTTTCACGTATTGGTTTGCTACAGTTTTTAGGAGGGGAGAAAGGAACCTAAGAAATTTCATGCCCATTACAGCAAGTGTTCCAACAACTTCCCTCTCACACAGATGTTTCCTTGCAGAATAACTGTTCATACAGAGTTACCCTGTTAGCAAAAAGAACAGTTTTGATTCAGAGGAGCTGCCTGGACATTTATTCTGTTTTTACCTTGCACAAGTCCTTAGGGCCCACTGCTACTGCAGGTGGGAGGAACTGTGATCACTGCATGCAGTGGGGGAAGTTCTATCCTCCACTGATGCTGCAAAAATCTCCCCCGAATTTTGGGGGTTTGTTTTATTTACTGGAAAGCTATTCAAAATCCTGTTTGCATAAAATTAAGAAAAAATAATAACATTCACCTTATACAGCTGCTGTGGAGCTAAAAAAGAAATTCCTTAAAGATGCTACAGAGCTACAAAACAATACAATTGTACAAACTACAAATAAAAAATGAACTGTAAATACACAGTTATGAAAACATAAAATATGTGAAAAATTACAGTTTTTGCTACTGCAACGGGTCAAAAAGTTGCCTTTCCAACACATGGTGGATGGGAGGATGCTCAGACCCCACAAAATTTGTCTGGAAGTGATATCCTGTGAGAGAAGGCTTCATGGGCTTGAGCTCTGTCTGAGGAATGAATAAACAGCTTGAGAGACAGGCAAGACTCATGTCTCTCAAACCAGGGAAAGCTGCCGACTTCACTATGAGGAGCAGGAACTTTCTAGGGAGTTACAATGCTAAAGAAAAGAAACAGAAAGGAAAACCTTGTGTGAAAATGTGTTGGTTTTATGATCTTTTCTATCTAGCTTAAAAATACACTATGTTAGAAAATGGAGGTTTCTGAGTGCACTTTGTTAAGCCTAGTTTATTCATAATAAATAGAAATTACCTTTTTTTTTTTTTAAGTGTTTTACACAAGACAATGTCTTGCCTCAGGGACAAAATAATAATAAAAGTAATGGTTCCCTTAGCAGGCTAAATGTAATATAATGAATTTCCCCATAGGGAGTGACAATACAGTGATCACTAGGGGAAAGACAGTATTGTTGTCTCCTCACAGGCATTATTTTCTTAAGCAAAATAACTACTCATGGGTTTATTATTGTCTTGTGCAGCCCTTCCCAGAACAGATCCAAACCAGCCACTGTTAACGCCTTATTACTGTAGCATTATTATGGTAACACCACAAGACATAGGCAAATGGGTGTTGAAAAATGCGTAAAGGAATTCTCCACAATATCTCCCCTCCCCCAATTTTCAATCCAAGTTCAACATAACAATGTAGATGCAAATGCAGTCACAAACCCAAGAAAGCAACATGAATAGATCTGTTCGCTATGTATATACTGAGTTACCAATAGTGAGCTAAGTAACTGGAAAGGCCGCTAATAATCTGCTAACTCTATCACCAAAAACTGCTACGAAATTAGTCTGCGACAAACCTCAAATTTTAATGTTCCCAAGCGTAAGAAAGGTAGAAGTTTTTAAAAGCGGCCATTCCCAGAGGCACGAGCTCAAACTGCCTTAGCTCGAGCTCGGTGCTTCACTCTCCAGCAGGCCCCGGCTCTCCCGCCGTCCGCAGCGCGAGAGCCCAGCCCGCGAGGCCTGGCCGGGCCGGGCGGCCCCTCACGGCCCCTCACGGCCCCTCACGCCGCCGCCGCTCCTCCAGCGGGCACAGCAGCAGCTGTTAAAAATAACGAGACAAGTACCTCAGAAATGAGGGCAAAAAGAAGGCTCAAATTGTCCCGATTTCAACAGCTTTAACACTTTAAAGTACATGGGCTTAGTAGGCTTCTGAACAATCTGGCGTTTTTCTCAACAACTATTTTTTTTCCCCAAAAACGACCCGCATCCGTCCGCCTCGGCGCCTCCCGCACCGGGAGTAGGAGCTCCTCGACAGCATCTCCACCGGGCAGCAGGGTAAGGGTCGGAGAAGGAGGCTCGGACCGCCTCAGGCACCGGCGGGCGGGAGCTGAAGGGCCGCGGGCGCTGCCGCAGCGGCGCTCCCGGGGCGGAGCTTCGCGGGGCGGGGCGGGGCCGCCGCTCCCCGCGCGCCGGTTCCGGTTTAGCGGCGGGCGCGGAGCTCTCGGGCCTTGGCAGCCGCGGTGCCCTGGCGCGTCATGGCCGCGACCGCATGGATGCCCACGGTAGGCAGGGGGGCGGGCAGGACCCTGCTCCACGGCGCCCGGCACGCGCCCCGGAGCTTGCTGGCGCCTGAGGCGCGGCTGCCCGGCCGCAAGGTCGCGGTGCCGCCGGGCCCTGGCAGCGCTCCGAGGGGGAATGGCCGCGGGGCTCGGGCCGAATGGCGGCCCCGCGGCGCTCTCGGGTTCTCTCCTTCCTCCTCTCCCCTCCCCGGAACGGCGGCGGGAAGGGGCCGTGGGGCCGTTATTCGAGCGGGCCGGGCCGGGCCGGGGGGGCGTCGCGCCATCCCTCGCAGCGGCCTGCGGAGAGGTCGCGCCGTAGAGGTCACAGCAGCGGCGGGACCACCGCGGCCGCGGGCAGCTCCCGGTGCGCGCGGGCACACGGCACGGCCTGGGAACGCCGTTCGCGCGAGGAGCCCACGGTACCGGGCGCTGCGGAGCCGGCTGGGGAGAACTGTTACCGGCCTCGGGCTGACAACTCTCTGGCCCCTGCACCTGTCCTCTGGGATTTACAGCTCTGAACCGTTCTGAAACGCAGGCCTTATCCCGGGGCTGTCACGGAAATACGGTCTTTTGCCTTGAGTAAATGAAATTTACTTTGTACCTTTAAATAACAGCCCGCTTGAGGCAAAGTCATTGAGGCAGCCCCATTTAACCTGTCTGCTAAAGTAAGGAAGAACTGTCAAGAGCTAATCATGACACGTGACTTTAAGGTCAGAATGGATCAGTTTTCCTTGGGTGGATTCTTTGTTGGTGTTACCAACGTTTAACTTCAGTATAATGTACTAGGCCCATGATTTCTGACAAGACAGACTGTGCCCTTTCCAGGGCTACTCTGGAATTTAAATCCTGATTCTATATGCAGGAACTGTACCTTGAGAACACTTACCCTGTACAGTCAACTTCACATTTTCATTTGATTGCTCTGCCTTCATCCTCAACCATAGGGCCTGCTTTGGTAAATACTGCTTGCCTGTTGCAGTGACCTTGTACATCTCATGTGGGGCTACAAGTAAAAATAGATCTAGCTTAGATTACTTCTCCCCCAGCATTCATTACAATATGAAAATCATATTATTTTATAATATATTATTATCATTAAAGTATGAGAATTATATTATTTCTAGTTGTTTCTCTTGGTGTCAACATAGTTTGTTCCTTTTGCCACACACCATTCTGTCAGTAAAGAAATAACAAATGCAGGTGGGATAGGAGAGGAATACAAATTGTCAAAGTAATTTCTAGGCTGATAGCTGCAGACAGCCTGCATATGTGAGTATGGCAGAACTGAAGTAATGTAAGCAGTTAGAAGTCTTCTGGCTCTTACATCCCAGAAGCATCAGTAGTCCTAGAGAGGAGGTTAAGATTGGGAGGCTGTGATTTTTCTGCAGAGTAGGGATTTTGGTGCTCAGCTGGGTATGAGCCCAAGCTTAGATACCATCCCAGTTTTAAAGCTTAATGCCAGTTCAGAATACTCAGAAAATGTAATTCTTTGACTGTGATGTGTAGACTTGTTGCTGTGGTGAATTTTGACTTCAATGTGCATTTCAGTTTAATGAAATTGAACTTTCTTTTAAAAACCGTCAGAATTTTTACTGGCGTGCAGAAAGCAACAGTACAACACCTACAGGTATAAAAGGCAGAAGAACAAAATTCACCACAGTTTGAAGGGAAGAAGTGACACTAATGTAAAGTAGTTTTGGAAACATCACTAAAATGTGTAGATAGTGTCCACCCAGCTGCTGCCAATGAAGTGTTTGATTTTTCACTTTGCTTTCTGCATGTCTTCATCCTTAGCACATGATGTATTTAGTTAGAGTTCCTGCAGCCTTGCTTGCAGCATGATGTGTGTGAGGACTCCGGGTGGGTGCAGGGGCTCCCAGGCAGGACGGGAGCGTGGGGCAAAGCGCGGCTGTCCCGGGCTCACCTTGTGCTAAGAATACCCACAAGGCGTTGCTGCTCTGAGTGTTGCACTGCAACTTGGCAAAGCACTGGCTGCTCTGGTTTCATATGGATTTTCATACTAGTTTGAGATAGGAGATTTAAAGCAGTATGACTTTAAAAAGAAGATTTGCTGCGATATTGTTAAACTTGTAAAATCCCGTTTGTGCAGTAAAACTTTTGTTTTGGATTTTTGCAGGTTTCTCGATTTCTAGGTGCTTTCAAAAGCCAAAAAAAGGTGACCAGAAGTTTTGGTAATGCTGTGAGTATAATAGTCCCATTTTTTTTTCTTTTAAGAAGTTTCTCAATAAGCGGGTTTGGAAATTTATAAGATCACTGTTGTTACTCTTATGTTCCCAAAAAATAAAGGGCCAAACAAGTGAACGTGCATGCTCTTAATGCCATCCTGGATTTATATCAGTTAATCACTGTCATTGGCAATTGCACATCAATGTGAGAATATAAAAGCCTCTAGCAAAAAACAGAAAGTTTTCACAAAATACAGACATAAGCCAGTCTTCTGGAATTCATCTGGGAATGAGCAAATAAATATTGGGCAAAGTAGAAAGATTGTTGAGAAGCTTCTCATTTTCTTTCTTTTGCAGACCTCCCTCTAAGCACTAGGTTTACTTTACTGCTGCTTTTAGAACTCCTTGCATCTAAAATTCTGCCTTTCCAAAGTCCTCTTTAAACTATCTTACATGTTGTGTATTTCCCTGTAGATGTTTTGCTTCTTTTTTGTGTATGTGTTTGAAGTGCCCATGGGCCTTTTTTTGGTGAAGGCAGGAGCAGGGCTCAGCACCCTTAAGCAGGACTTAAAGAAGAACTGCGGCTTTTCATGATAAGTTTTGTAGAACAGCAGGCACAACACTTAGAAAAGAAACTGAAGGGTCACTTATACAGTATAAAAATCAGAAGGTGAGGCACTGCTGATTCTGTTGAAAACACAACAGTTTCAGGCTCAGGTGGAGCCCTGCAGTGCTGGCTGACAGCACTATACTACTCTCAAGGCATTTCATCAGTAACAGCTTGCTCACCAGCAGTGTTCTGTTATTTGTAGCTCTGTTTTTTTGTTGTGCACAGTGAATTTTTTGGGCTCAAAAGTGAAAAAATCAATTAGTCAATATATATTGAAGTTCTGGCCTGTGAGCTGATTCTCTTATTCTTCAAATAATGTATGTGAGCTGCCTTTTCTGTAGGTAATAATGAGCCCATGAAAGGTGTTGGATCTCTAAATAAAACAAAGTGAGCTGGAGCATGTACCCTTAGAACAGTGATCATAATTTATTTTTTTCCTCAAAGAAGAATACATTCTTCCCCTGCCATTTGTTGAGCCTGGGCTGTCCATTTTTTTCACTTGTTTGATAATGATAAAAGAAACAAAACTGAGGACATTATGAGAGGTAAATAAGTTGGTATTGTTTAAAATGGGTCTGAGATTTTTAGGAGGTCACTTGAGAAGTTTAGCTTGGCATGACCTTTTTTTTTTAAGGTGAATGTAGCTTTTCATACACGTAATCATTTCTAGCATGTGTCAGTATCATGCAGCATGTTGATAATATTGTAGACATATGTGGAACAGAGCCATAACTAGGTAATACAACTTGCTCTCCAGATTTCCAGAGGAAAGCATGTTTCATTAATTCATTCATTATAATGTTCAAGGAGTTCTGAGCAGGAATCTGCCTTTCACATTCAGCCTCTGTTTTGAAGTAGAGTAGGTAGTAGGTGAATTTTCAAACAATTCTCTCAAAACATTTGCACGCTCCCTTGGAAAGCAAGCCAGTCCTTCTCACTTCTGTCCAGGACTGCTGTTCTTCATAGTGAATATTTGGTAAAGGAAAAATTTATTTTGTTTTCTAATAGTTACTTGGTTCCATGAAGATGTTCCCTATGTAGAAAACAAACATTCATTTGTTGTACTACTGATATTTCTTTACCTAGGTACAAACAGTAACTTTAATCCCAGGAGATGGCATAGGACCTGAGATTTCTGCTGCTGTCATGAAGATCTTTGATGCTGCCAAAGTAAGTCATGTTTGTCTTGCTATAAGCATTGCAGACTGAACTACAGCAACAAATACTAATTAGGCATATTAAAAAAAAGCTTAAAATATCTTTTAAGAGATTAAGTCATATTTAAGCTATTAAAACTTCTTTCCAGTAGAAAGAATTTGAAGCTTCAGCTAATAAATGACAGGAATATGATGCCAAGGCACGCCTTGAAACTGTTAGCTGACAGAAGAGTAGAGACTTGAGAGCAAATGCTGTGTTTGATTTTTGGAAATACGAACTCAATGTCATGTGAAATCACCTTGTTGATGTAGTAATCCTGAGCAACTGACAGAGGATGTTCTTTCATTTGTTATGACTTCAAGTGCAGGTCAAAAGTGTGTGTGAAAGGACTGGCTCATTTTAGCAATCCAATTGCTGTGCTGCCAAACACATTTACTTCAGTGATATGAAAACTTACTGCATTGAAGAACTGTTCTCTTACCTATCTGAGAAACTTCACCAGACCGTGTCAAGTTTCCTTGGAAGGAAATACAGCTCTTCAGGCAAGATGCCTGTTAAATTGTTCCACATCAGTAACAACACCCAGGCATATTCACTTTTTATTACAACTATGCAATGTGGATTTGAAAACATGAAGTTGCTTTAATGTTGTATCTTCTCCTTTGTGGTCATTCCTGATGGAATGAATGGGTGGCAGCCTGTCTCCACCTAGAGTCCTGTGGCAAATGCAAATTCAGAAAGCACTGTGGAGCGTGTGCAGATTTTTCAGTGAGATAACAGATGCACATCTATGTCATACACAGTCTTCCAGTCAGTGGGGATGACGAGTCCTCAATGAATTCAGCTTTAAAATGTTGTTTCCTGTGTATACAAGGAACTCAATAGCTTAAA